GCGGTGAGGCTTGAAGTGGGTCTGCCTGTCTGACTCAGCTGGAACATAAAGGACATGCCACTGTGGTATGCACCTTGGAAACGTTGAAGCTCTCTGGAGGGTATTTAAAGAGTGTGGAGGTAAGGTTGTACGCTGGAACAAGAACATGTAGTCCGCAGTGGAGAAAGGACACGGGATTATGGTCTAAGACTGGTTCTAGTAGTGCTGCAGGTAAGAAAAGAGCCGAAGGCTTGGGCCTGTCTGGTCCGTCTGCCTGGATCTGAAGGGGAACTTGCAGCTGGAAAGACTTCAGAGTGGTTCTGGTGTGGAAACAGGGAGGGACTTTTCCATTTTATCAACTAGTACACAGTCATTAGATGGTCCTGATGATGTGTATCTAGGCAGAGTTTCAAAGAGGTATTTTCTCATTCTCCTCTCAAGCAGAGGAGGAGGGGTCATTAGTCCCCGTAAACACAAAGCCAGCGCTACAGTCTGCCTTTAGAGGCAGGTGGAACATCTGATGGTAAACCTCTTCAGACCCAGTGAGCAGAGGGCAACAGAGTGCTGCACACTTCTTTATTCACTCATTATTGCTAATACCTATGGACCACCCAAGGCACTTACGCAACTGTCATCCAGAAGATTGCAGCTGCCTCATTAAAATTACATTTGAGTCCATTTCCTGTCTTAATACAACATCATTGTCTGAGTATTATTTCCTCTCTGAGACATAAACAGTCAGCTGTGTGTACAATCCCTTTGGTGCTCTGGTCTGACCTTTGACCTCTACTGTAGCTCATCAAGCCATGTTTTTTTTTTCTCCACGTCCCTTCCTGAGGCTATCCACGCATTCAAGCTCCCACTTGTCCAACGGATGAGACACCTGAGACGTTCCTGCGCTGTAACTCTGCTGTAGCAAAGTAACAGGTGAAGGAAGACACACAGCAGGGTGCAGTCAATAGACGCCATGCAGTCTTTCTGGTGAAACGCACTCCTAATAGATGCCTGAACCTGCTGTTGAAAGGAAAGGAGATCCATCAAAACACTAACAAGGGAGAGTCACTTCTTCCGCTGGCTAATGATTCGACGGAGCCTTTTTTAATGGCTCTCCATCTGTCAGACGCAGAGTGACGCCAATTTGTTCCGCGACTTCAGCGAGTCTGGGCCCAAGACGTTCAGCAAGGCAGCGCCGGCAAATTTGTCAACAAACAGCAAGCACATGGCAGCTGTAGTACTGCCCACATCAGCAGTCGTATGACTCACACACTTTTACTCACACACACATAAATACAGAGAGATTGTTTAATAATCCCGGGCTTGTACGCACAAGCAGCCTGTGACGTGTTGGCCTTTTGCTGTCTAACTCACCCGGCAGCTTTCACCACCAACAGGAAAAAGACAATCACTCCCACATGCATCCACTACCAGCCCCAAGCACAGCAGACTTAAAAAAGACACGCTCACACACCTGACTGTGCAGTTTAAATCCCCTAATAAAGTTGATTCCAAGTAAAAGACAACTATAAGGAAATGGCAGCCGTGAGGAGAAATGAGTTGACAGGAACAAGCTCTTCTAGAATTCTGATCACCAAGGAAGATTGAAGTCCAACAAGCTGGTTCATGTTGAGAAGCAAAGGCACTCAGTGGTGATCAACTGTATCCTGCTTCCCTTTCCCACTCTATGGGAGCTGGCTGTGCAGCTCGCTTCCTTCTCATTCGCTTTTGTAACATTTGAGTACATCTTAACCCCCTGGAGGCAGGCAGGTTGAAACCTACCGACCTGGTTACTCCAAATACGTACCCCTGAAGGACTTAGTTGTTCGTCCTTTTATCAAAACTTATTTTGAGTCTGAGAGGGTTAAACCTCTTCTAACATCTCTGTTCATTATAAACTTGAGCTTTTTTGTGCACATCATATTTTTGTGAAAATAAAACAGTTTAGTCATTAACCTTTAGTAGGGTCAAGCCTAAAGGCATTCCCAAAGCTCCAGTCTGAACCACCTCCGTTTATTGGCCAATTATCGCTGACAGAGTCAATAAAAGACTTTATTAGGGTGATGGCAGAGTTAAGAACACCGGTGCAGAACCAGGCTGGAGAACCTGCCCCTGCTTGTTTCTCTGAAATGATCAACTCTCCAAATCTCCTGTCCTCTCATTGGCTGGACTCTAAATCTCAGAGTCAGCCTCAGGGCAGATCCTCCTCTACCCAACAGGAGTGCATCCATATGCATCTATACGCACAAGCAGACACTTGACCAGCCAGCTTTCTGCTCATGAGCAGAGCTGATCCGGAACAATCCAGCCAGGTGAAGAACGTGTTGTGTTGAATAAACCGCATAAACAACACCGCCTCCACGGTGAGGCTCGGTGATTTTAGACAAGCTTCGTGTTGAGTAAGAGTTGATTTCCACAAACAGATTAAAAAAATAACACAACATGCTAAGTTTGTGTCACCACTGAGAGAAACTCCAACCTGAAACCGTGAAAATACCAGAAATCTTCATCTCTCTGCAGCTGACGCCTCGGGGCAAGACTCCTCGTCCTACAGTAGAGAACGAGACCCTTTTACAGGAAGAGTAATGCTGCCTGGTCAACTGCCTGAGCTGATCCGATGATGATGATGATCATCATGATGATGATGGTATTTTAGGGGAATTTTTGTTAGTCGGCAATAAGAGGGAAGAGGGAAAAGAAAGGCCTTGTTCAAGTCTAACAGACGATGCCATTCACAGCCGAATGCCAACAGATGAGTCAAATCAGACAGCTGCTGACAACTACTGGATCAGAGGCAGACAGGACGCAGCCCAACGGATGGAGTCGTGGGTAAGAACGTCGATAATTAGACAGGATGTGCAGTAATGCAGCATTCGTGCACAACAGGCTGCCTTACAGAGCAAAGGATGAACTTCTAAACACATCTAGTTGTGCAACTTGTTTAGATTTTTTATGACCTTTAATAAGTCAACAACAGCAAGATCACCTAAATAAACACAACATCTTATCCTGTTGGGCCTCCATGAAGTTGAAGTTGATAGCAGCTGACACCGGACTGGGAGGTGGGGTACATCCTGGACACAACACTGGTCCATCAGAGAGCCAACACAAACACACATCCACTCTCATATATAGCTTCGATCAGTAATTACCTCACACGCCTGTGTTGGGGACTATGGGAGGAAACTGGTGAGCGTGGACAAACCTCACGCAGACACATGAAGAACAAGCAGACCTCACCAGCAGGTTCTGCTTCTCAAACCTTCTGCAAACGTTGAGTTCACGAGAACTTCTCTTACTTCCCAAATTCCTGACACAATTATTTTTAAGTGTGAACTTTAAATAAGAATTTACACATTTTAGACTGAATCCGCTCACTCGTGTCCCACTGGATCCTCCATTTCTCCTTCTTAGAAGTGATTTACTCTAAGGGAGGTCAAGGCCTGCAGCTTTGGGGGAAACGTGCTGACTTTGGCTCCTGACAGGAACTTTCTACCTGAACCGACTGATGTCCCTGTCCATTTCCTCTACCCAAAACAAAAGCTGCTGAGACGCGTAGTAAACAGCTAATTGCATAACTTCAGGGGTTAAGAAAATCATAGCATTGAAACTAACTGCCTCACACTCCTGTTTTGTTTGCCTCGCTCTTTCCAAGGTCGTAACTGCCAACGAGCATCAGACTCGTTGTTCTGCCTTGACGGGTTCTTCTTCTCTTCTAGGAGCTACCCAAAAGGATAAACACTTGCTCACTCAACATCACTGTTCCCTTCCCTGTTTGTCACGAAGATCTGGAAGCTCTAGAACCGTGTGTCTACCTGAGCCGTCAAACGTCCTGCCAAGGTTGCAATTTGTGACAAAAGGGGATGTGACCTCTTCCATGAGAGGCCCTGTTTTATTGAAATGAAGGACTTTAAATCGTCAGCAAGCTCTAAATCCCTCCATCAAACTTGTGACCGGCGCCGATAATGCATTTAAAAGATAAAAAACAAAAATACCAAGTTTATCTTGGCATTTTGTTGTTGACCATCATATGTTGTTATTTAGTATTCACAAATGTATACAAGCAAATAATGATTACTCATCATTAAAGGACTCCGAATCAGGACCTCATTAGGCTAATCATTCATTTAAGCGCCTGTTGGAGCATTTGAACTAATTTTGCTGCACGTCTGTAACCATTTCTCAGTAATAAAGTAGCGACGCATTAAGGAAAATGATTACAAACCTGGTATATAGAAGGCATCCCTTTAGTGATCAGTTTGTTTACAGCTGAAAACAACATCCCACAGCATCATGTCACAAATGACTGAATTAAAAACATGATAAACAAAAATGTCCTGCATGAAGACAGTTCTCCTTCTCTGTTTGCATGAAAACTCAATTTTTTGACTTTGTTAGTTAAATAAAAAAGTTTACGCATCAGTTTCTAATATCCAGGTGATAACTACGTTTGACTGTCCCGCCATTAAATAACGTTTGCGTGATTGTGCCAACGATTATTTGTCAGTCTAGCCTGCACCATGTGTCTGCAGCAGCACCGTGAGGGTAAAATTCAGAATATTCCTGCAGTGGGGCACAAGCACACAGAGTGATCAGGGGTCATTTTCGGCACGAGAACACAGGCACGGGACTTGCTTTATGTCCCGATTCCCACGTATTTCTCTCGGGAACTTTAGGGGTTACCATGGGAACAGATGAATTCCCGAGACAACGCTGCATGCTGCCAGAGCCCAGCCCTCCCTCTCTGCCCCACGTGAGCCAAAGTTGTCCTCCCTCTTGAACACTTTCCACGAAACTTCTGTCTTTAACTGCTCTGCAGACTGGCAAAACAATTCCCCTTAGGAAAAAGAATCCTTCATCTCTAATAGGCTGACACGTGATCACGCAGAAGATGCGTTACATGCGAATGTTGATTATTTAGTGAAGGTATTGAGTAACTTTGGTGAATTGGTCTCTTTGGGCATAATAAAGCGAACACATTTGTCGGACTAACGCCATCAGAAAGTGCAGAAGTGACGTAAACCTACCAACTAACAGACATATGACATCCAGACCGACGAGCATCCTCTTCTTGGTGCAGAACGAGCCCGGCTCCTCCTCGCGCTGGCTGAGATGATGCGCTCCAGCTCCGTTCTCCTTCCCTTCCCCGGCTCCGCTGCTGTCAGCCAGCCGCAGCTGGAGCTCCGCGTCGCGGGGCAGGCTGTTGCAGTGCGTCCCGCTCGAGCTGAACTTCTGCATGACTTTTCTGCTCTAGCGTCACTTGAACACGCGTATCTACAACCTGTCCTCTCTGTAGCAGCACGTTGTTGGATGATGAAACTAAAAAAAAAGTCCCCAAGTCTTCAGTGTGCCCGTCGGTGCCGCAGACCCATGTCAGAGTCTGACAGCAGCAGCCGCGGAGCCTCCTGCTCACACACCCGATCGGCCGCTCTCACGTTAACCAGAAGCGCAGCAGGAAAACAGAAGGCTGTGCTAACCTGAAGGAAACTAAACCATCTAACTAAAGTTCACAGCAAACACCTGGCTGGACGCATGTTGTGCTGTCTGCTCTCTTTGCGCTCCGAGTTGGCAATAACACGCAACTTCAGCGGACTAAACTTTGGATCTTCTTTCAAAATAAAGTTATCCTGCCACCTGCTGAAGGTGGGAAGAACAGCTGCTGCTGTGGCGTCTTTATTTGAGCAGATGATTTTCATAAACCTGCTGTAGTTTCCTCATGAACACAAGGACCATTGCAGGCTTTTAACACAACCAAGTGTGTAAGAGCTTTAGGAGTTGACTACTGTAGCCTCATGTTAGACAAGCAGATAGCTTCATAGGATCACAGTGAAGAAGACAGATTACTGCTGAGGGCCTTGATCCAGCCTGGATTACTGTGAGGAGATATAAGAAAGGCGCACTAGCTACAATGCACATTCAATAAAAAATCTATAGTCATTTGTTTGAATATCAGGGGACAAATTATTCCTATAATTTAAAATGTTCACATTTATAGATCTGCAAATCAAAGATCTGACCCGGTAGAGAACGGTCCTGGGCTCTGAGCTGAGAGGAGCATGAGGAACAACCACAGTCCTGTTGTCGGGCTGCACCAAGGGCAAGTATGGTTGTACTTTGAACTAAACATGAATAGTTGAACAAAACAAACTGAGAAGCATTATCTTCTCCTGTATCCGCTCCTTCCTCTCTCGATGTTTCTACATTCAGTATATTTTTGGGCTCCCTTGTTTCTTTTTAGATGATCTCATTTATTTATTCGATTGTGCTTTTGAAGTATCTTGCGAGTTTCATCTCGAAAGGCTTCTTTATCTTCTTTTTATTTAAGTTCTAAGTAAAAACAGCCCTATCTCACATCCTTCCAGGGTTATTCTTTTATTGGTCTTGAGCCATTAGTTGAGTTTCAACCTAAATCAAAGCAGAAATTGTAGCTATATCTAAAAGATCATGCACATTATTAGAAACTGCTGAAAACAAAAGAAAATAAGTCTCACGTGGTCAAATGAAAATTGCAAAGATTCATCTGTAATAATAAACTGAAAACCAACCCACCATAATTTTATTCTCATGCTTTCCCCTTTTCTTCAGGTGTACTTTAGTTTGGCTGACCTGTGTTTTGGAAATCATGTAACTCTTGTTTTTTTGCATACATCTTATGTGTGCATTACTGATTTTCTTCCTCTAGATGGCTGTAAATATTCATCACAGAGAGAGTGGAAGTAACCATTGCTTCAGGCATCAAAGATTCACAATAGCAGGAGATTCCTGTTGTTGCTCGCTGTGTTTGGTGGTTCAGGAAACCACGTTCCACGGCTGTCTTCTGTCAGCACTTCTGGTGTTTTTGTTAGACGTCTCCTCCTCTCCAACATTAAATCAGTACACCAACGGGCTCTGTTCCCCTCCAGATTTTTGGTTCATTCCATTTTGATCATTAATGTTTCCCTCCGTTTCTCTCAGATGAAATTCTGATTCATCGTGAGGAATGTCATGTCATTTGTTTAGAAACCTTTACATCCGCTGGCATGAGAACCAAGCTCAGCACACAGTTGAGACGAGTTTATCTCTGTCGTCATCATGTTCTTTGTTTTAAAAACACTTTTCAGGACTAAACCTACATCTGAGTACGACCGACTCACAGAAATCCAGTATGGCGTTGATACTAAAGTTGAAGTTAGATGCAGTCCTTCAGCTGTGCAGCAGATGTGTGGAGGCAGAAAACTCTCCAAGTGGTTGTTGTCTGACCATTTTAAAGAGGGTGGCCCACTGTTGTTGTGTGATGACACATACCTGAATCTGAGTTCATCCTGTTTTTCTGCCATGAAACTTTCCCCAAGCAAAGAACAAACAGAGAAATGAAACCACATGATGACCTCAGCCAGAGAGGTGCAGGATGGGAACTTTTTACAAGAATGAAGCGTGAACAACATCACGCTTGTTTCTGTGTGAGTTTCCATGTAAAAAGTAGGGATCTGAGGGGTTCTGATCAAGCATACGCACTGACTGCAACACGTTGGGTTTATTTGATCTATTGGTCCAACGGTCGTTGTCTTTGTGTGTACAGTGCCAGGTTGTCGCTAACTGCTTTATGTTAACTTCACGTGAAATATTTGGAAACAAGGAGGAAGTAGAGAAGAACATATTCTAAAAATCATCTGTAAGTCTCCTAAATTAGGAAGTGATTATTTCAGAAACATTTTTATTCTTCTGTGTGTGTGTGTGTGTGTGTGTGTGTGTGTGTGTGTGTGTGTGTGTGTGTGTGTGTGTGTGTGTGTGTGTGTGTGTGTGCTTGTGTGTGTGTGCGTGTGTGTGTGTGTGTGTGTGTGTGTGTGTGTGTGTGTGTGTGTATGTGTGTGTGTGTGTGTGTGTGTGTGTGTGTGTGTGTGTGTGTGTGTGTGTGTGTGTGTGTGTGTGTGTGTGTGTGTGTGTGTGTGTGTGTGTGTGTGTGTGTGTGTGTGTGTGTGTGCGCGTGTGTTAGACCTGTGGTGAGTGAAAGAAAAGGGCCAGTCCCCAGGTCTACCTGTTCTCTCCGTCTTTACGTGCTAAAAGGGAAAGTACCACTTGGATAAACTGTGTTGTACTCGGTGCCGAACACAGACAGGTATTGAAACATCCACATCGCATCACGTCGCTAGCTCAAGAAGCAAACACACTCTGCTTGGGTGCACAGTAGAGGAAACTCGGGACTGGTGCAGTCGTCATCTCTTAACATCTGTCTTCCTGTGCTCCTCAGTCTCACACAGCTCTGAACTGTGCCATCAGACGGACAATGCCACAGCACAGCCTGCATCCCCTGGTTTACATCCTGCTCATGTGGATCACCATCATTTCCATAATTCAAGTTGTCTTCATCACCTTCTTCTTCACAATGGGACAAAATGGGCAGGTGAGACTTCTTTAAGTTTGTTCATTTGTGTCAAGTTGAACTGTAGCTTTTGAAATCCGCTAACAAGTCTGAAGACTTTTCTCAACTTTTAACTCAGATTGGTCACGTTTGCTTTAACATGTTAACATCAACAGCCATGTTCTCAAAAACACGTGAAATGCTTCTGTTCTTTCATGTGGTCCTTCCAGTAGCACAGCTGGTGAGAAAGACACCTGTGTGTGTGTGTGTGTGTGTGTGTGTGTGTGTGTGTGTGTGTGTGTGTGTGTGTGTGTGTGTGTGTGTGTGTGTGTGTGTGTGTGTGTGTGTGTGGTCAGTGGGAGCTGCTTCGTGGAACTTGTTTTTCTTAGATAAATCTGTTTCCTGATTCGACCCAAAATTACAGAAAATCAAAGTAAAGACGTGTGTTAGGAGCTAATTACGTAACACGGCAGATCTGTGAATTGCCTGTTTAATGGAGCTGACATGCAGGGGTATGAATCCAAATATAAACACGCATGTGAACATTCAATTATTTGATGTTGAGTCCTCTGTTTTTATTTCTAGTCTTCAAGCAGAAGAGCCGAAGAACCCAGTGGAACACATGAACCCCCCTTTCTGAGCACATTGGTAAGATGAATCCTGCCTAATCTGTTGGCCTCTGTGATCGAACCCTGGTGCAAATGAAACTCCCTCGGTTCATGCAGATCAACTCTGTTACTTCCATATTTTGAGCGACTGATGTCAATCTCACCGCTCTCCTCGTCTGTTGGAGGAAGCACGGTGACGTCATTGCCACATTCGGGGAAATGCCACCAAACTAAACACTTGTCACTTCATTTTCCTTCCAAGAGAGAAAACGCCCTAATGTGTTTGTTCTGTTTTAGTGAAATTACACCCATTTTTTATTGTTTTATGTGTGACTACAGAAGCCTGCCTGACCAGAATATAAAAACTAACATGGTGTCTTTTAACAGCCCCCCTCCTCTGCTTTGCCTCTCACAAAAACCAACATGATGGTCACCTATGAGGCCAGACGAGGTAAAGCGTCTCTCTTCTTAAGTCTAATCTGTGAAATTACGTTCCAGAAAAATCTGAATGCAACTCATAAAGGGTCGTTTTTGTAGCTAACGTGAGTTTTTCTCTCAACATCCTTTCAACCACAGAGACGGAGACCATCAAATGGGTTGCAGCAAGGCCACAACCGCACCTGATTTCAGAGTCAGGAGAAACACTTCAGATAAAAATGGATGGATTCTATTTCCTGAATCTTCGGGTGACGCTGACTCCATGTGATCAAAAGCAGAATCACACTGTGAGGCTGGAAGGAAAAGACAAAGTTCTGCTGGAGGGGTGGATCAACAACGGCAGAAGCTCTGGACAGCTCAGCAAGGTAGAAGGGCTGTCAGCTCCATGTGAACTGAAGGTCACCATCCACCCACCTACTAGCTGTATTAACGAGAGTGAGGCTGTTACACACCTGGACATCATCTTCATGAAATAACCTCCATCTAACTGGTGTTCCTGTCATCGCTGGAATCATCTCTGCAGCCCTCTTTGCTTGGGACTAAAAAGAGTCTCCTTTGTTTCTTTGGACGATCAGATCATCAGATCCTTCAACAGTCTGAAAGTGGAGGTGTTCCCACAGCGGCACTGAAACATCTCCGTTCAGCTTCAAACTAGGTCGACTGATACCTTTACCCTGAACAAAGACTAAGGCCCTGTCCACACGTAGCCGGGGATCTGCCAAAACGTAGATGTTTTTCTACGTTTTGGCCTGTCATCCACACGAAAACGGAGTTTTTTCACACGAAAACGGATCTTTTTAAAAACTCCGGCCAAAGTGAAGATCTGCGTTTTCTCCGTTTTGGGTGTCTGCGTGTGGACGGACAAAACCGGAGTTTTAAGGTCCGCAACGTCACTTTCCGTGACAAAAAATGCTGACATCACGTGTGCGACCTGTGTTTACACTAGCCGACAGCATGGATGCCCTCAGAGCTGCGCTCGCTTTATCAATTGTCCAAGCGCTTTCTGCTTGTTTGTTTTTGCAAGCGGAATTACTGCTGCTTGCGGAAGACCACAGACGAAGGACGAGGTTAAGAACGGGGGAAGTACTGCCGCCTACAGGTCTGGCATGTCCTTAACAACGTATTTATCCGGGTACGTGTGGACAGAGTTTGTTTTAAACGAGGCGGTGTGGATGCAAGTTTTTGGAGGGGCGGATACTCGTTTAAAAAAAACAGGCTAGGTATGGACTAGGCCTAGATCACACTGTCACGATCTGCCCCTGCCCGCCTGACTGTGTTCCTCTCCTGCCATGATTACCCTTATTGTTCTCACCTGTCCCTCGTTTACCTGCCCATGTTTCCCTAATTAGCCCTCTGTATTTAAACCACCTGATTTGCCCCTGTCCTTTGTCAGTTCATTGTTGCTGTTTGCTGGTGTTCCTGTTCATCCCATCCTGCCATTACACCATTTTTACTTTTACTGAAGGCTGCATTTTTCCTCCTGCTCAGCTCAACCACACATGGTCCATCATCTCCACCTCCTACACCGTGACAGAATGAACTGACAACGGACAGGGGCAAAACAGGTGGTTTAAATACAGAGGGCTAATTAGGGAAACATGGGCAGGTTAACGAGGGACAGGTGAGAACAATAAGGGTAATCATGGCAGGAGAGGAACACAGTCAGGTGGGCAGGGGCAGATTGTGACACACACAAGTAGAAAAACTGAGCAGCTCCAGAATGATGGTGAGGTTGACTTAATCACTACAAATCTGCTTCTGCTCTCTCGATGAAGGACCTTTTACGTCCCTGTTTTAGTGGAGATTGCTGCGAGTTTGTCACAAATCGGATGTCAGCGTGTTGATCCTAAACAAATACTGTTTCATTATTTAAATTGCATTGTTTGGTGAGAACGTCTTGCATTAGAAAGATGCAAAGGTAAGATATTTTGGTACTGTCCCAAAGATCTGGGCACAAAAAGAAAAAGAAAATGCAGTTGCAGTTTCTTGTTTTTTTTTGTTTTTGTTTTGTTTGTTTGTTTGGATATCTTTGATTTCTTGATTTATGTATTTATTTAATTATTTATTGTTCGGACCCAGATTATTTACAATATTAAACTGTACATAGTGAGAATCCACCGTCAGCTAAAATCCAATGAATGTATGCAATTTAATGTTAATGTCGATAATTTACTTTATGTGACTCGCTGCAATTGTTTTTTAGTGCTGGAGAGTCAAAATGAAGAATGGCACCAACTGTAAACCGTGGTTGTGTTTGTTCAGACATGTTTATGAGTGATTCCTTCTCAGATCTTAAATATGTTCAAAGTGCTTTCTAAAACCAAAGACACACCAAGTGTCAAACCCTTCGATACAGGAAGTCCTGACGCACGGTGGTTGGTGAAAACATTCCTTTAGTTGCTGCCTGCATGGTTCATTTTTCTTGGTTGTTGTTCTTTGTTATTATTTATTTAATTGCTCCATGCATTTTAAAAGATACAACATTTGTTCTGGGAACCTTTCCTCGGTGATATTTTCTGTACAGCTGTTTCCCTTTTGAACTCATTAAAAGCCTGAGTGTTGAGCTACATGAAATCGCAGCGATGAGCTAAGGCTTTGATAGTGAGTCACCTTGGAGACCCTGCTCTTAAAGTGAAAGTGAGAGATTACGGGTTAATAGAGATGCTGCAGAGCCACTACTAGGGAGGTGGAGCGGGACCCTGTCATGTGCTGTCGAAGAACATGCCCTCCAAACCAAACAACACCGTATGTGCCTCACACAAACACACGCAGCACGCCGTCTATCAGCCTCTGATCAAGAGCTCTACCAGAAAAAGCTCACTGGAACATGAAGTTAGTCATCAAAGCCGCATGAAGTAGTTTCCAATCTAGGAGTTTTATCGAAAACACCACCTCAGCCACATTTCTCACTTTCTTAGATGCAGCCAAAACTTTCCTTTTCGCCAAATCGAGAGCCCAAGATGTTAAAACCAGATGTAGAACAGAAATACCCAGTTACCGCCACCCACTGTGTCTGAAGCATGCACACGTCTCGGTCGGTCCCTACCCTTTACCTTGTACATCGGCTCTGTGCTGCACATGTGAAACCTTCAGCTTTCAGTCAAGCAACTCCAGCTCACATCTGATGGAAATGACTCCCAGTGACAAGTACACACTGGGGATAGAAGCAAACCAACCCCATTCATTTTGTTTCCTTTACAGCCTGAAAACATGAACAGCCTTGATTCTGTGGGGATTCTTCTCCATCATCTCAGCACATCTAGACTGGCCCGTATCGGTCCACTCTACTTTACAGAACCGTTCAAGTTCAGTCAGCCTGGATGGCGAGCGGCGGTGGGGTTTAGGTCTGGACTCTGACCGGGCCGGACTCTGACCGGGCCGGACTCTGACCGGGCCTCATGAGGACGTTACCTTTGTCCTCCTCCAGCCAGTGTGTGGTCAGGTCAGCTGTGTGCTTCGGGTCAGTGTCATGTTGAAAGGTGAATCTTCTTCCCATCTTCAACTTTCTGGCTGATGAAAGCAGTTTTCCTTCAAGAACTGGACGATATTCTGCTCCATTTGTCCTTCTACCCTAACGAGAGTGTAACCTGGTAGAGCAGTATCACACTGTGTGTGTGTGTGTGTGTGTGTGTGGGGGGGGGGGGGGGGTGCAGCAACACGGGTGATTTCAATTAGAAATCAGGCACTGCTCTACTTAAGGGGGAGGCACACATAGCTCTGCATCTATTGCAGCTGTGCTGAACTCTTTGCAGGTAAAGACTGACGGGTGAACCTTGCTGGCTCTTAACTGCTTCCTCTTGTTAGTTTTGTTTTTTTATGTATTTAATGACTTTTATTGATCTATTGTGCCCCGCAATGGACTGGCTCTCTGTCCAGGGTGTACCCCACCTGATTGCCCATTGAGCGCTGGAGCTAGGCATCAGCGCCGTTTGGTGTTGAGGCCAAATAGTTCAGCTTGGTCTCATCTGACCATGAGACCTTCTTCCAGTTGACATCAGAATCTTCAAGGTGCATCCTGGAAAAGCTCAAACGAGCTTTAATGTGGCCTTTCTTGGAGTGGCTTTGTGGCCCTCCTGAACAAGCATTTTTGGAGCACTTTAGTTATCACTTTCACAGAACAGCCACCCTTGACCATAAAGTCCTGTAACTCCTTCAGAGTAGCCACCTGCCTCCTGGTAGCCTCTCCTACCAAATTCCTCTTTGCTCTTCCATCCAGTTTGGAGGGATGACTGGGTCCAGGGAGGATCCTAGTACCAAATGCATACTTATCTATGGAGTTTACTGTGCTCCTTGGTATTGACAAAGCCTTAGAGATTATTTTTTCTATCCATCTCCTGCATTATGTCTGTCCACAACTCTGCCCCTGAGATGGTTCTAAAGTGGTCAGTTGTCAGTTGCACGACCCAGCAAGAGAATGCTGCAGGAACAGCTGTTTAATGCTTCACTAACCACTTTCATTACAACTGATCACAGCTGACACCCTGACTGAGTTTAAAAGTGATGGATTGTTTAGAACTGTAAACCAAAATGGCCAGTTATGCTAGCGGACTGCAGACTGGACAGAAAGCCCGTCTGCATTTAGTTGTGATTGTCAGCTAAAAGTGAAGCTCAGGGCACATCAGTCATGTTCAGTTTCTCTTGTGATGAAGAGCCCAACACAAGGGGACAGCATTTAGCTGTGGACCAGCTGTAGCACATCATCACCACCTTTCTTTATCTCCTTCCAAAAATAACCAACAAAGCAAACTAAACACTACTATTAGTAATTGTATGACAATACCCGTCTGAGATTGAGAGAAAAGTCCCTCAAAAGTTTCACCTGAAGATGTTTCGGTAGACTGTCTGACAACAAAAGCAGGTTTCATCTGGTGGAAAATAACTTTTTTATGCAACCATTGATAAATAAAACTCACCCTACATCATTTCTCTGTAAGAACCCTGTATGGTGTATAGTTCATAGATGATGGGACAGAAGTCTCACCACACTGCTGATGCATCCCTGCTTCTGCCTAAACAGTCTCACACACTCCTCAGCTCGACCAGCACTGGAAAAGGACTCATGGCTAGGCTCTTCTGCAGGGAGGAAGTTTGTATCTAGAGGGTTTGAAGACTTTATTTGCAAAAACAAACAAAAGTTATTTAGATCAAAACTGCCAAACTTTATTTTGACAGATTTCATCTGAAATAAGAGATGCATATTTGAAAAATGCGCCCCCAATGTTTGTTTTTGCAAACGAACTAATTCCTTTTCTTCTGATTTGAGCCAAAAATGTTCCAAAATTCCATCCCTGAAGGAAAATGAACGTGATAATCCCACCCACCTCTGAGCACTCCCTCTGTTTCAGTGCTGGTACGTTCTGCTCTCCAGGTCTAGGGTTGGAAAGTCAGTCAGGCATTCTGCTGCTGCCGACAACCCCTTCCCCTCCTGAGCAGGCCCCCACTACCACTTCCTCCTCAGGTTACAAATATACAACCCGTGGGTGTTTCATGAGAGACTTCTGCGAACCGTCGCATATGAAGGGAAACGTTACAGTGACTGATGTGAGGAAGATGCAAAGTAAAAGAACTTCAAAGAGTGATGAGGTTTGTGCATGCTGCGTCAGCGTTCATGCCACACACTCAAACGCAGCTTTTGTAACGTTGCAGGACTCAAACCAGCATGGAGATGAATACGTTACTGACACTCTTCGGGTTTGGTGACCTTCCCAATAATGAGAAAAGAAAAGGTCATTTGACTCCAAAATAAATTTCATTGCCTTGATGTGAGGTCCACAGAAAGCAAGAGGTTAAAGAAACTGCTGACATTTAACCTTGTGTGTCAACGTGGTGATGAAAAGCACCCCGAACCAGGAGTCTGAGCTGCCGTGGGAACAAGTGGGTGAGATGTGCACCGATAAAGAGACCACTGTAGCTCGGCCTCGCCTGACACAACAGGAAATGCTTTCACTGAACGTATAACACCTACGGTGGAGAAAACCAAACTTTAAAGTCATTACCTTCATGTCAGAGCATTAATTCACATAAATCCAACATGAAAAATACATCTTTATCCAAAACGATTAAATAAACAATCGTGTCAAAGCATGAAATAAGAGCATGGTTGCTGTTTTGGGGATTTTTAATTTTTATACATTCTGTTTGCAATAATATAAATCATGAAAAAGAACATCTGTTATTTTACATCTAGTTGAGTTTTAACAAGAACAAAATGTATGCACAAATATATTTTATTGTAAAAAAAAAAAACATCTGTCACAATCAGAAACTCACCAGCAAAGCCCCAACAAGCATTTTACATCTAATTCACCTTCAGGTTCGAGCAGCCTTACACACACACACACACACACACACACCTCGTCACGGATCAACTTCAAACATTCATCTGATATCATCAGATTATCCTCAACATAAAACATTTCATTCTCATCTCATATTCAGACCAGTAAAGGGACTGACTGGAACAAGAATGGTTTCAATTGTCTACTCAATCACATCGATGTTTTATCATCACACGTGTCAAAGAGGGAGTACAGCAACACACTCACATTTCCTCAGCGTTTCTTAAAGCCAAGCAAGGGAAAAGAAAAGATTTAAACCAAAGCACAATAACAAAACTTTACGTTGTTATGTAATCAGAAAACACGTGGCATGCATGTACTTCTTCAGGGTACTTTTTTCATTGTACGTGGAATTAACATAAAGTACAAAAACACCTTCATTTAAACCAAAGTGTACCAGCGATACTATTCTTTACTCTGTAGTGACGACACACCCTTCACTATTCTACAGGTTCACTCCTCTTCCAGTTATATTTTAGCCTTTTAACGTAGTTCCAGCAAACTTTGGTTCTTACTAAACTTTCCCCTCAAGCCATTTGTTCCTCTCTGTGAACAAACCTTTGTTAAATGTTGGGCATTTGGCTTTATTGGCTTCACTGTTTCAATCAAACCATCTCAAGTCTTTTATTTTATTTTAAAAATAATATATTTGTATGTTCTCCGATTCAACATTATACATAATTCTTATTGCTTATTTTTTTAAGTCTGGTTGGTATCAAAACCGTACTATTACATGCATTTCCACACAGTCCCAAGCAATAATTTATGTACGCAACAATGAAAAATACTTTATAAAACAGATTTGTAATCAAGCAGGAATTCACATCTTTTTAATATGGTCACATTTTAGCCAGTTTATTGTGTATTATAAATATATGTGTTTTCCAACAAACATGTAAATAACAGTCACACCTAAAATCTTATATTTTATGACTGTTGGGAGCTGAACTGAATATGTTCAATGATATCATTTTGTTTAGGATACATGTAGGAATAACATGCTGAATCCAAACCACTGACTAATTTTCAGTAATTCTGTGGTAATCTCTAAAAGATGATGGAGGTGTCTACCTGAACATAATATACAGCAGCTGTGTCATCTGCAAAAACTGTTGAAACAGTAAATAAACCGTTTACATAAACTACAAATAATGTTGGTCCTAATATCCATACCTGTGGAACTCCACATGTCATTTTCTGACCCGCTAGCTGGACACACTGCTGTCCATTTGATAACACAAAACCAGTTCTGAGTCACTGAAAGAGTCCAACATTTTAACGACTCTTTTGGTCATAGTTTCATCAATATTGATGTTATATTCATATCATATAAGCACCAAAAACGTTCTCAAAAGACTTGTGTCGTAAGATCTTCTGTGTGCTGCTGACGCTCACATAAATAGCATCATTTTCAGACAGGTGAAACACCCCGCCCAGGTAGCTGTTGGATCGCATTTTGCTTGACTCTGGTGAAGTTTCCCTGGACTGCAGGAGGGTGATGAATTTGCCGGTGTACTTTTCAGTTTTCATATTTATAAGATGATGAAAAATGCCACTGAATGAGAAGTAAACCTTTGAGTAGATGAAGTAGTACCCCTCCTTCTGGATGATGAGGCTCCCATTTCTGTACACCATTTCATACAGGATGGGGTCTGCATTCATGCTCCAACCCATGATCTGTTTTTCATGAACAACATCTACACCATCTGCAAATTAAACACCAGAAGATGTTAGAGACATGTTTACCATGAGGTTTTACTTCCCGCCTTGATTTCCACGTAAAAAAATAGAAATAATGGAAATGCTGGTTTCACCTGTTAAATGTGCCATTGGTTTGGATGGAAGACTTTCCTCCAAGTGATTTTCAATTGTAGCAACCTCATCGCCTGTTAAAGATGAAACACAGTGTTTTAACCTGCAAGATAAAATGTGTAAATAGAGATGGGTAAGTGCTTTGGCGTACCTCCAGTGAGTTTTGAGGTTGATGCAGACTGGACCTGCAGTGGTGGAAAGGAAAAACAAGAAAGTGGTTTAGCATTGACCTGCGTGCATGCATGCTGCACCACTGGTGACCACTTTAATTGCAATTTATGTAAAATGCAAGAATTACATAAAATGTGAGCAGATTTTTTATAAAAGCATCACCATAGCCCCAATGTTACCATAATTCCCTGTGAAACGACGTCTCGTAATCCAGACATCGTTTTAGGTAAAAAGGTGCAAAGAAGAGAAACATAAAGACATCTTCGTGTTTGTTGTTTGCAAAGCAGCGTTTGAAAGTGGAGCTAAGTCTCTAATTATAAACAAAAGAGAGATCATGATCATCAAACAGGAAACAGACCATTTCCTTTTCTGCACCACTCTTTGTTTGCACAGCACATGTTGCCTTCATCATCAACTTCTCAGGAACCATTTAGCCCCCACCCTCATGTACTTCACACGACTGACCACACATGGCCATGCCATGGTGGGTGGATGCACAAGTTTATCAGAATACGGACCAGTACCTTCTCAAAACCACGAGACATTGACTGTTTAAACCTCAAAATCCATCCATCTCCATCAATTCGTCCATTTTCCCGCACTGTTTATGCTTATGTAAAGCCAAGCTGTAGTTGCTTTGTTTAATCTTTACTGTGATGATTTTGTGCATTCACTGGCTAACATGCTGTATTTCGTTGCCAAACTTTGTATTCAATTGGGTTACTACTTCACTTTAGGTTTATTTACAATGTAATGTCTTGCCCTTATTTCTCTTTGAGTGCCTCACAGCAGTTTTATTTAATTTAATTTGGTATATAGGTATGTATGTACGTATGTACACATGTGGGTATTTATGTATCCATGCTTATGTGTTTATATTTACGTGTGTATATATATATTTATACATATCGTTAATTTTACCATTATTTACTTTCCTTTTTTTTTAAGTCTGTTATAACTTTCTAACTCTGCCACCTTATTTGTTATTGGTTGTGTTGTAGGAGGACCTGCTCGAAAACGAGATGTTACATCTCAAGCAGTTTATCCTCCTGAAAAACATAAGTTAAATAAATAAATAAATAAATAAATAAATAAATAAATAAATAAATAAAAGACGCCAACAGCAGTTTCTGTAAAAGAGCAAATTTTAAAACACTTCCCCATGATTTGTTCACACGCTTCTGCTTTTCTGCTGAATTTAACCAAATGCAGCATTTTTTAGGAAAAACTTTCACATGGTTTGTGTCACAAGAGAGCTTCTTCTTTTAGGAGCTTTCCCTCTGGATTCCCAAATATGAACATTGTGTAAATAAAAGCAACCGCACAAAATCATATGTTGCAAAAAATTGACAAAATCTGAAAATGACTCATTCCAACTGATTTAAAACTTGTGTTTCAATTTTTTAAATAATGTTTCTATTGAAAACAAATTAGGTCGTTTCAAAGCTTGTGTTCTGGAGGTTTGACATTTTTGAATAAATTTAGATAGTATCTGCATGTATTTGGTTCGCGTGTTAGTTTAAATTTTAAATGAAATGATTAAAATTAGAGTATGTGTTTAGTTATAAAATCGTTCAGAAAACTAACAACCAACAAGGTCAAAAGCAAGTCAGTGAAACACAAAAAGGAACCTTGAAAGTGAGATTAGGGAGTAAAAACGAAGATTATGTCATGAAAGTGAAATTCTGTGGGGTTAAGGAGTTTTTATGATGCAACCAGAAAGGAAAACAACTGAAAGATTCACAATACGAGAACGCTACATTTACCAGCTCTGTTTGGTAGAGACTGTAGATGAAGCAGGCTTCAATGACCATGCCGCACAGCGCCAGGCTCACCAGCATGGTCAGCAGGGTCACTGGAGCCCCGGTCCAACGGCCCTCTCTCATCAGCCGAGGCGGCACTGGGGGCCGTGTTGCATGAGTGTCCACCACAAACACTGATGGACAGCCACCCTCATCCTTACCCCCTCTGCTACTTGGGTGATTGAAAACCATTTTGGCATGAAGTTCTCCTCCAAATGTCAACGCTGTTGCTTCAAAAGATCCGCACTGACCAGACGAGACTGGAGCTGCAAAGAGGTGTGAACAAGTAGCTCTGGGTGGGCTCACTTCTGGTTGGTTCAAGTCGAGGCACCTTATGTGTCAGAACAAGATGCTGAAATCTTGAGATGTCTCATGCAATGCACATGAAAGCAGAAACACTGGCTGAGCTCTTCCAAATCAATCCGTTGAGGGGAGTTTTACTTCTGAAGACTTAGTGTTTCAGCACGTGAAGACCAGACACTGTGCAGTGTTACCCAAGCTCATCACCCTCCCACTTTTCTCAGAGTTGAAATGTTTCTGTTTCCATCACCTCGCTTTGTGGCTTGTCTGGGGCTCTGAAAGCAGCAGATATCCTCCCATCACCTTTTCACGTGGAACGTTTATGTCTCTGCTTTGTCAGAGGTGACTTAGCAGGCTTCCAGCTTGTGAACTCCCACAGATCTATGAACAAACGGTGCAGGTTCCGTGTCTTGTTAGAAGAAGAGAAGATGCAAATGTTGTCTTTGAATTTGAAAAAAGCATTTGACCCCTGTTGAAGCAGATGCTCAAGAAAATTGTTGTCTACACCTCAACCTTTTTCTACTAGTAGACCACGGAATGAGTTCACCAAAGTTCATGTTTTACATGCCTTGGTCTTTGGCTAATGCTTCGGCGGCAGCTTTCATTGCTTTTATCAGCTCACACTCTATGTCTAACCAAATTTCAGAGATGTTGTTATTGTGTTATGTTAAAGGTCTCCTTGCTCCATCTAATCAGGATTTTTGATCTGATCCTGGTGGCGTGTGTCTACAGGCTCTACACACTCCCTCCAGTTTGTTACAGTCTTCAGAGAAAGCAGCTGGTTTGATAGAAATGGTGGGGTTTAACTTTTAGTTTAGAGTAGGGTCAGGAACAGAACTCTGTTGGTTAGGGTCAGACATAGTGGAGTCACTAAAATGAATGGAAGTGTGGGTTAGTGTTAGAGAGAGAGAGAGTGTGTGTGTGTGTGTGTGTGTGTGTGTGTGTGTGTGTGTGTGTTACAAATTGCAACAAAATTATTTTTTGTGAATTAGGAAGATAAAATGTTGATAAATTAGGCATTCAATCTTTTTTTCCGGTACAGAAAAAGTACATCGTGGTATTTTTACCTGAATTAATAACCTCGGGGTTCCTCAGACGTCTCCAGCTAAAGGTCCTGAAAGTTCATGATTCTATCATGCAGGAGATGTTTACATTTCTTTTCATCCGTTTGAGTTTGTTTGAGTCTTTCACTCTGCTGCTGATTCCTGAACTCGTAGCTGACAGGTCTCGGCCAGATCTGGTGTCAAGCTGGCTGACAGCTGGCATGTTAAGCTAAAAACTAGATGTGAGAAGATGGCACTGCCCCAGGTGGCCTCATTGTGGTTAGGTTTTCCTTGCCCTGTCCGTTCCTGCCACGTAGAGGATGACTGTGGCTGCAGCAGATGTCGTGCCTTCAAAGGGCTGTCATTCAGAGCTGAGTAGTGCATTGTGATGACCAGATATGTGCCAGAGCAACTACTTTGTGTCAAATAAAAAAGCTACTTGAGAAGTTTCATTTGGCACCCTTTTAAGGGTGCATTATGTAAGCATGAGGTAAGAATGTTATCTTGTGGTCAAATGAGGTAACTAATGTCCATTTTTCTAAACAAAAAATGCTGGTTTCGGTTCTTGGGTGTTTTACGGTAGGGAGCACTTGCTACATTTATTATGGTAGTATGTCTCCGTCAATAGGAGTTTTTTTTTTGCTGTTATAGTTCTGAACAGCTCATTAAAGGAAGTAATAAAATGCCTCGATTATCTCATTACTAACAAATACAATACTGAGTTGTTGGTAATTGAAAAAGTAGCTTGAGATATTTATAGAATGGACTCTTTCTAATTTATCATTAGCATTAAGCTCAGCAGTAGCCTAGCCTCCTCCACCCAATATCAGAGTAAATAAAAAAAATGCCGTGGCTTCTCAGGGGTGCAACTAATAACTTCTGGGTCGCTCCTGTTAGCTGGATTTATTTATTTAAACAATTCTGAAGCTTTTTGCCTGCCAGTAAACTACAAATGCCGGCGCAGCAGCGTTACCTTGGCACACCTCACAGATTGTAAACAGTAATACCATCCCTCTTGTTTTTTGAAAGGAGAATATCTGACAACCTGCCACGTACATTTAAAATGACATTCCTGACTTTATCCTAACTCTATCCATCATAGGTCACCAAAGTCAATGGCCTTAGCCCTCAAGTCACCAGTGAGGCTTTTAAAACTGCACATACGCACACATGTCGGGATGGATATGTTGGACATTTTATTTTCGGATTTTGATTTACTTCGTTATTTTAATTTTTTTTTTGTATTTTATGAATGTAATTTTTTCTTTGCCTGTGAAACACTAATAATTACTAGTGCAATAGTTGCATTTATTAGTGTCATTTCCTGGTGATAGGGGGCAGCACATACATTTCAGGGTAGTTTTACACCATATTGCTGTGACTGTCGCTAGTTTAAAAAAAACATTACGGTAAATGTTGTTACCTGTGGAGCAGAAGGCATGCAAGCTCGGCATGACCCCCGAGACTGTGATGCTCCTTCAGTTAACTCATTCACTGTCACTAGCGACTAAAGTCGCCAATTGCATTTTCAAACGGGCGGACATGGGAACAAGCTTGCGCACCTTGAGAGTAAACATCACGCCTCTAACGTTGATTTTCATCCATGCCACATGATCTGGAAGCAGCCAATCTATGAATTAGGAGATTGTGTTGTGCCGTCTGACCAAACTGAGCTAGCGAGAAGAGCCTTGGTGAGAGAGGTAAAGAAGAACCAAAATACACAGTGGCTGAGATCCAGAGATGCAGTCAGAAGATGGGGGAAAGTTGTAGAAAGTCAACTTTCACTTCAACCATTCACCAATCAGAGCTTTATGACAGAATGGCCTGTGTGAAGCCTCTCCTTAGTGCCAGACACATGAAAGCCCACATGGAGTTTGAATTTTCATTTCTCTGTATGTCCTGCACATGTGGTAGAAAATGACAATAAATGCTTCTTCTTCTTCTTCTTCTTCTTCTTCTTCTTCTACTACTACTACTTCTTCTTCTTCTTCTTCTTCTTCTTCTTCTTCTTCTTCTTCTAAAAGACACCTGAAGAACCCCAAGGTGGTGAAAAAATAGGATTATCTGGTCTGATGAGACCAAGATAAAACTCAAGCAGTATGTGTGGAGAACACCAACCACTGCTCATCACTTGTCCAACACAGTCCCCACAGTGAAGCATAGCGGTGGCAGCATCATGCTGTGGTAGTGTTTTTCAGCTTCAGAGTGCTCCGAACCTCAGACTGGCCCAAAGGTTTACCTTCCAACACGACAATGACCCTAAGCACACAGCTAAAATAACGAAGGAGTGGCTTCACAGCAACTCTTTGACTTCTTGAATGGCCCAGCCAGAGCCCTGACCTAAACCCAACTGAGCTCTGGAGAGACTTAAAAATGGTTGCTCACCAACGTGCACCATCCAACCTGAGAGAACTGGAGAGGATCCCCAAATCCAGGTGTAAGAAACTTGTTGCAACTTGACCCTGAAGACTCACTGCTGTATTAGCTCAAAAGGTGCTTCTACTAAGGCCCAATGCCAAAGCTCGCACTTCCCCACTTGCGCCCTTCACTTACGCAATCCTGACCAGGTGTGCGAGTGTGTAGGGTGTCCCGATTCTGAAGTGCAGAAGTTGATCACAACCCTTTTGTGCCCTTGAGCCACACTTAACCCACGTCTGCATCGATGGTGACGTGGGTGAAGTGTATTACCCACAATCCATTGCTGCGGAGAACTAGGTTGAGGTATTTTTTCTGAGCATATGTATTTTCTAATGAAAGTAGTTAATTTTAGGACGATTAGTTGATGCTCTGGAACTTTTAGACAAAGCAGCAACGAATATAGAATTATTTCAAATAATTTTTTGCAATTTATTAATAATGTATTTTTGTAAAGTATCACAGCATCTGGCATCCAGCGTTGCGATTGATGACACAATGCTTCCTGTCACAATTCCGCAATTATTTGCACGCTTGAGTATATCACACTTCTCCAACTGCTCTTTGCTGAAGACCACAGGGCGCAGTGCGAGTATTATTGGACCTAAATACTGAGAAAAGGGTCTGAATACCGTGAGATATTTCAGTTTTTCTTTTTTAATAAGTCTGCATTTCTAGGATTCTCGGTTGTTCTATCAGTATGGGTGCTGTGTGTACATTAATGAGAAAAAAATAATAATTTAATTGATTTTTAGCAAATGGCTGCATCATGACTGAATGCTTTCTGGACCAAAACTGTAACATACTCTCATCATTGCTTATATTACGCTGCAGGTCTGGATGTAAAACACAGCCTGGTGAGTTTATGGCTCCCTCGTGTCATGAGAGTGTGAAGTCCAGAGCACTTTGATCCACAGATACAGGCTCCACTCCTCCAGCTTTGACGTGGAGATACTCAAGACTCACAGGCTGCTCCTCCACCATCAGAGTATGAGGCGCAGCAGCTGCAGATTCCTTCAATTTTTACTTTTTTGACTCACTGGGGGATTTTACCCAGGGTTTTTGAAAGAGGAGCAACTTCAAATGGACAAATCATTATGACCACATCTGCACAGCTGTGTGTGATGGCATGTTTTATTGTGACTGTAGGCTTGACTTTGGGTTTTAGGCCAAAACAGCACATGGAGTTCACGTTTATATTACCTGCTGCCAGCACTGAGTGTTTTTACCAAACGACCAGCAGAAACAGCAGCATGGAAATTGAGTATCAGGTAAATAAACTCCTTTGCATGTCGTGCCTGTTTAGTTGTAGCTGTTTAAACGGAGTCTGAACAAGTGAAGAGGCTGGACTTTAATCTCATCAGCCGTGAGATAAGAAAACCACTGAGTCTACCGTTGAAGTCACAAGCTTTATACGGGAGAGGTGGGTGGACATTTACACACAGAAAAACACATTATAACATAATAAACCTGCAACTGTGCAATAATCAGAACATTATGACCTCTCACACCCATTTAGCACAGCAACAATGGGATTACCTGCTGAGTTTTGAAAGAATGAAGCTCCCCAGATGCTAAAATGAAGATAGAAATCAGCAAAGACCCCCAAATCACAATTTACAAAAGGCAAATAAAATAAAACTCAAGGGATCGTTGTACATGTGTGAGTTCAGTTCAGTCAGCGTCGTAATTCTGAGTATTTTCACAAACAAACCCAAACCTTTTTTTTGCAGCTTGTAATTTTCATGGAGAACATCAGTAAGTCCTACAACACACCCATCACTCTGGGTTTCATGACATTTGCATCTTCACACCACATCCAACAAGTCTCTGCTCCTTCTGGGAAGTGCAGGCCGGTGTGGGAGTAAATGTCCTGCAGCATCTTCAGTAGGAGTTAATTTGCACATCTGCTCATTCACTCTTTAAGGTGATAGCAGGATCAGGTCTACATGTCGGCTTTGCCCTGATCTCACCTACTGGACACCGGGTGATCTCTGAATTTAGGAACTCAGACGGTATTCACACGTGAGTCTTCCTCATTCCTTCTTTTGTGTTCTTGATTATCTCACTGCAGCACACGTTTGCTTCAGCTTTTGCAAAAAGGAACAAAATAAAGTATTTCATTCATTTAGATCAGGACACTGCAGATTTGAATGATCCATTTGCTTTTGCAGGGTGGATGCTGCAGAGGACGGAGACTACAGATTGTGCTTTGACAACAGCTTCAGTAAACTATCGGAGAAGATGGTGTTTTTTGAGGTCATTATAAACAGCCGGAGCCACGTGGGAGGAGACGGAGACGAGTGGGTCAACACCGTTGTTTCAGATAGTGTGGTGGAGTACAAACTGGAAGAAATCAGGGTGAGGGGAAAACAGGACGTAGTCTGAGCGAGTGGCCCAGCCTGGTCTAAGTGTTGTTCTGCTCTTCATCTTTCAGACCAGAATGGACACGGTGTACTGGCACCTGGAGAAGAGTCATCAAGTCCAAACTGTCCTGCGGGCCTTTGAGGCTAGGGACCGCTACCTGCTGGAGGACAACCTGTGGAGTGTGTCCTTTTGGTCCTGCATTAACCTGATGGTCATGCTCACAGTAGCAGTCACTCAAATTTACACCCTGAGACGCCTGTTTGACCACACCAAGCGGGTCTGCACGTAGCAGAATGAGCTGAACCTTAAGGGCTGCAACCACAGATTAGATTCAGTCTGCTCAGAAATAAAACATCTCCACGCGTTGCACAAGAGAGAAGATGCTCAAAGTCTTGTATGTTTCATTTTAGCATCACACCATGGCATACATTTTGTACACTCAAACACAGACCAGTCTTCTAAATGCACACAAATTCAACCGTAGAATAGCTGAAGCACATTTTGATTTTTATTTAGAAAACCACACCTCTTCTTACTCGAGTTGTTTTTATTAGGCTCCTAGTACAGAAGTCTAGGCTAGAGTAGATCAAACAGCGGCCAAACTAAACCACCAAACCCTCACCTGAACAAGTAGGTAGAAACGGGCGTGAATCTAAATCCCATCATAATTAAGATACAGAATACATTCAAACAGTTATAAAAACAATGTCCCTGATCAAGTTTAAGGTTGTTTTAAAGCGACAAGTTCTTGGCTCTGAAGCATCGAGGTCATTAGGTCAGATGTCTCCTTCCTGGTGCCCGTCGTCTCCCACTTTGATCCACTGGGTTTTCTTCTAAGTGAAACCTTCTCCAAGCACCACACTCCATCGCTTTTGTCTCTTCACCATCCCAAATAAAAGCTAAAAAGACTTATTTCTGAATATTTTATATTGTGCTTTTTCCTATTCTGAAGTTTTAGAACATGCTGTATACAAAACTTTTACAACTTGGCCCGCTTCATTGACAGTGCACGGCCTGCTTTGTGGCTCTCGAGTGGCGCTATCGGAGTCGCGTTGCAGCTTTTCTTTTGGAGCGTCATGAAATAAAAGGAGCCGATAAGTTTCCTTTGTCGACATGGATCCAAGTCATTTCAAGTTCACCGCCTGCTGGTCGGGGTCACCACTGGTTTCGACGGGGAGCCGGGCGCCTGTTCAGGAACAATCAACCAACGTTAAACTTTTGACCTTGGGACATGCAATAAAGAATTGCTTTTGACAGGAAATACTACAGGACATGGTCATCAGAAACAGAGGCGACCTGCGCTGAAGCAAATGTCAACCCTGAGCTGAATTTGTTACCGCTGCCTGCAGCTCAAAAAGAACAAAGATGAGATATTTTACACAAGTTTATGAGGAGGAAACATGCTTTATTTCATCTGAACATTTTGCAGCAGTAGTTAGTAAAATACTATCAGGTAAGATCATAATAAATCTATCTGGAATTCAATGAAATAAAAGTGCAATAATGCAATTGTCTAACTGATGTAATCAATAGAAGAGTGGATAACGTCTACTCTTAATCCGACCTGCAGCAACTGCGGCACTAAAGGAGTTAAAGGTGAAGAGTACTGACCACCATCCACATGAAGGAGCTGTAAAGCTTAAGCGTTGCTACAGAAACTGAAACCGCTCTCAGTTTACATCATTTTAGATGTAAAGAGGCAAACAGTTGGAGAAAACTACTCAACACCGTCTAGAGCAGCGGGAGCAAAGGCATCACACAGGACACAAGGAGACACCAACCACCAGAGCCAGTCCCTTTATTGTACACACTTCTTTATTTCATTTTCTTTTTTAAATCAGGTCATGGCGTTCCTTTAAAATCAATGAACGGCTACAGCGGCACTTCACAAGGGTTTGCAAAACAAACAGAAAGATGTTTGCACGTTGTCTCCAGCCTCTGTCCATTTTGATAAGGGGGGGGGGGGGGGGGGGAAGAGGAGGGACACCGTGTAATTCCCACATCTGCATGTCTACATGGCTCCTCGAGGCCCAGCCTGCAGTGACAGGCACACAAGAGTCTCTCTGGTTTTATCAGATCACTGACCAAATGTAGTTTTACATGACTTTGTTTTATGAAAAAGACCATCAAGGCAATCGCTCAAGGTTGTTCTGCAGATGAGACTATCGCTGTGTCACTGGAAGCAGGGCCAAGAAAAATAAACACGAAGCACATTCTGTCTTAAGATTCAGACGGTTGAGTTTGGAATTTAGTTCTTCTGTTCAGGTCGTCTAATTTTCTTTTTCCTCTTTAGAGAAGCAGCTTCTCATGACAGGATGTGCATTTGTACATAACCATCACCACAAATTAAACCAAACAGCCCCCCCCCCAGACAAGAACAAGATCTTTAAGAAAATCAAAGTCAAATTTTAAAAAGGCAAACAATATTCCATCAGTGAATAATCACAGCTGTTGTTGCAAAGACCCATCAGCCCAGTAAGAAGGAACCTGTACCGAGTTACGACTGCAATCACAAACACAGAGAAGACAAATGCCCTGGTTATAAATAATGAAAGAGGAAGTGAAAGAAATCTGTTAAAATCAATAAATGATAGAATGAGTTCTTCCTGTGATTTGAAGGCTATAGTTGCATTATTACAGCACCTGTTCTGATTATGGCTAATATGAAAAGATGAAGCAATGCTCCAAAACAGACCAGCTATGTACAACGATGCTTTAACACATGGACGCAGAACAAATAACTATATCATTAATAAATGTTTTCAAAAGAGAAGACACATCTCTATCCTCAAATCCATTTGCATACTCTAAAACCAACACCTGCCCCCCTCCACACCCTGATAAATCACCAAGTCTCATTCTCTTTGAGAGAAAACGGTCCTGCATGCTCCGGTTCATTTAAATAAGCTGGATCAGGACTTCATCTGAGGCCGTCTAACTCCATGGGACAGCGGGATTAAACACCAGCCTGTCCCACAGTGTCCTACTGACCCTGTTACAACGTCCTGAAAGGCTACATGGTAACAAGTGCTTAAACTGCAACGGTCAGACTCATCCTCATCTCCTATTCACGCGGGGGGGTTGTCATAACTCGCTGCCCTCCTCCTGAACGTTTTTCTGCTGCGTCTCAAAAAGTTTCATGTAAAGCTAACAAAATAAAACATCGAATGTATCAATGTGTGTGTGTGTGTGTGACGCGTCAGCACTAGCTAAAGTAGCCAGAGTTGTTTTCCAGTATGAAACCAGTTGAGATACAGAAACCCAGTAACAAAACAATCAATGACAGTTTAGGTGTGTGTGCGTGCGTGTGTGTGTGTGTGTGTTACAGAGCATGTGAGTTCATCTACAAAGGAGGGAGGAGAAGAAAAGGAGAATCACCAGGACCAACTAAGTGACACTATGCTGGGAACCAGTTCAGGAAGTGGAAACAAAAAGTGATTAAATGAATTTTTTTAGACCTTAAACTGATGTTTATTCATGATCTCCTCCTGTTAGGAGTCATCTTCACTTTTATTCCAGTGGTTTGGGCCTTTCTCCCTCTCCTCCCCGTTTACCAGTAGAATTAGCAGCTTTATAACATTTGCTTGAACAAACCATCAAAGCTGGGTCTAAGTCAGCCCCTCCCCCAGCCAGTAGTGCGCAGACACACACATCCACACGCACACAACACCCCCCACCCCAACACACACACACACACACGCTTAGGTGGGCCTGGCCACAGCTCTAGTCTAGCAGGGAAGGTTCTGCAGGACGTATAATGGTGGGCCGGTGAGACGGAGCACCAGGAGGTCTTCGGCTGCAACGAGGAGAGAAGATACAGGACAAGGGGTGAGATGTGCCCACAAAGAGACCGATTAAACCAAATAGCTCCAGAGAGAAGACAGGAGGCAGGCACAGAAAGGAGCAAGGGCAAAACCAGGAATGTAAGGGAGGGGGTATGTTAAGGCATCAGTGTGAAGGAAATAATGAGAACTTAAAATTTACCTCCAAAATAAAATAAAAAACTGGATGATGTGGTGTTGGTGAGCAATGTTCCAATGACAGTGTAACAAATAAAGACAAAAAACACTGAAAGGAAGAGCTCATCGTGTCACGAAGGGAAGTCCTACCTGGGCACACCGGGTGGGACACGGGCCGGGCGGGAGGGGATCTGTGGCGGTGCACTGAATGGATCCTGGTGGCTGTTAAAGGCACCGCCAGGTGGGACGGGCCGGGAGGGGATAGGGGGTGCCCCAAAAGCTGGAGAGGGATTAAGTGGAGCTCCAAAAGCTTGGGTGGGGTTCACGGGTGGTCCTGGTGTTGGTCCACGAGCAACAGGAGGACGATTGGGAGGCTGAGTCGCTGCAGGAGGAGGTCTGTGCTGAGGAGTCGGGCTGAGGGACAGAGAGACGACTCGTTAAACCTCCGTAGAAGAGCAGAACGGTTCACACACACACACCACTTCTCACCTGCTTTCTGGGATCCATGAATCATTTACAGGCGGCGGTAACGGGGTGGAGACTGTGCTAGCAGTGATGTCACCAATGAGGTGCAGCGCCTCCTTGAGGGCATGATACATACGCAGCATCTCCTCTCTGCGCTGGGCCTGGTCAGCCGACTCCTCCATCAGGCTGTTCTGGTCCCCAGATGAATAAAGATAAGCCAGCAGCTCAGAGTGGATGAAATCTTTAGCCTTCAGAAAGCAAAAAAGTCTAGTTTTAATATATTAGATTACATTATGTTAGATTAATTTACATTAGATTAGATTACGTTAATGACCACACAGCAAGCCTGCGATTTTTTCCCCCAGTACATGTTTGGACAGAGCAGGTTCCATCAAACACACACACACACACACACACACACACACACACACACACACACACACACACACACACACACACACACACACACAGCAGAGAAACAACACATAACTGTAGAGGATCAGACCAGCTTAGTAATCACAACCTATATACCAGGTGACCTTCTACACTGTGTGTGTGTGTGTGTGTGTGTGTGTGTGTGTGTGTGTGTGTGTGTGTGTGTGTACGCATCTGCAAAACTGTAAGAAGGCATCAAGTCATCTCACTGGTAGAATAAAACTGAAATGGGGTCTCATGAGTCACTGAACAGCCAGTTTTTTATTACCGTCTTTAACTTTATGACCTAATGTTGAGATAAAATACAAAACAGCGACCGGGCCAGAGACAAGAACGGTGTTGTTGTACAGCCCGTCTCACACGAGCATCTAGGTAGAATACACAGGAAGTGTGTGTGTGTGTGTGTGTGTGTGTGTGTGTGTGATTTGCCTCCACCTCTGTCCTTCTCTTTGTGGTCCATGTTATTTCTTACATTTGACTTGATCAACGTTTTCTTGGAGAGAATTGTAGTTTGTTTGTTTTTAAACGGTTTGTCTGGCTCATATTTTGTTCATTATTCTTTTTTACTACAGCTGAGAAACTCAACGACCTTCTGCTGCTGCTATAGCTGCTCGACTCACATTGTTGATCATGATGTGCATGATGGTTTTGGGCATCAGGTCTCTGATGGATTTGTTGACGATGCCAATGTATGAATCCACCAGGTTGCGAATGGTTTCCACCTGCCGCTCCAGCTGAGGGTCCATGGAGAAGGTTTCTGCAGGGGCGGCCTCTTCAGTCTCCACCTTCGTAAAACAAAAAACACACACAAGGAAAGACTGCTTTTTACATCTGCATCTTAAAAACGTTTTTCTTTTTGAAGCCAACACACGTTTAAAGTTAACCTGTTCATTAGAAAAATAATCCCCACATCACCCTCTGTGGGTGGTCTCCATCCTTCCCAGCTCGGGTCCTCTACCGGAGGCCTGGCAGCTTGAGGGTTCTGTATCTTAGCTGTTCCTAGAACTGCAGAGGGACGTCTGAAGTTTTTCCTGGGATCTGCTTTAGCCCCTCCTCCAGTTTGGGGGTTACTGCCGTGAGTGCCCCGATGACCACGGGCCCCACAGACATAAACAGTGGGATGCAAACGTCTGGACAGCTTTGTTAATCTTCATGATTTTCCTGTATAAATTGTTGGTTGTTGCTATAAAAACATTTTGGTTAAACATCTCATATAGGAGACACACAGGGTGATGTTTGAGAAGTGAAGTTTATAGGATTTATAGAAAGTGTGCAATAACTGTTTAAACAAAATTAGGTAGGTGCATGAATGTGGGCACCACATAAAATAAATGAACTCAATATTTAGTAGATCCTCCTTTTGCAGAGATAACAGCCTCTAAATGCTTCCTATAGCTTCTAATGAGAGTCTGGAATCTGGTTGAAGGTATTTTGGACCATTCTTCACTACTAAACATCTAGTTCATTCAGGTCTGATGGACAGCTCTCTCTAACTCGCACCCCAGAGTTTCACTAATATAAGAGAAGATAAGAACAACTTTATTTATCCCGAGGGAAATTCTTGTGTCATGTACATGCTCAAAGCAGTCGGAGAGACAAAGGAACAGGTGAAATAGAAATACGATATACAATATATACATTAAAAATAATTAATATTCGGGCCTGGGGAGTGAGATGGCCATTCCAGAATGTTCTACCTGTTCCTCTGCATGAGATTTTGAGTGTTTAGGGTCGTTGTCCTGTTGAAAGATCCAGCCCCGGACCAGCTTCAGCTTTGTCACTGATCCCTGGACATTGGTCTCCAGAATCTGCTGATACTGAGTGGAATCCATGTGTTCCTCAGCTTTAATAAGATTCCCAGTCCCTGCGCTGGCCACACAGCCCACACCATGATGGAACCACCACCATGTTTTACTGTAGGTAGCAGGTGTTTCTCTTGGAACGCTGTGTTCTTTTTCCTCCATGCATAACGCTCCTTGTTATTCCCAAATAACTCAGTTTTAGCTTCATCAGTCCACAGCACCTTATTCCACAATGAAGCGGGCTTCAAATGTGCTTTAGCAAACCTCAAGCAGCTCTCTTGGTGCTGTGGGTGGAGAAAAGGCTTCCTCTGCATCACTCTCACATGCAGCATCTCCTTGTGTAAAGTGCACCAAATGGTTGAATGAAGCACAGAGACTCCATCTGCAGCAGGACGATGCTGTAGGTCTTTGGTGCTGCTCTGTGGGTTGACTGACTGTTCTCACCATTCTTCACTTCTGATTATCTGAGATGTTTCTTGCTCTGCCACTTTAAGCCTCAACATGAACTGAGCCTGTGGTCTTCCATCTCCTCAGCATGTTCCTAACTGTGGAAACAAGCTGAAACCTCTGAGACATCTTTCTGTATCCTTCCCCTAAACCAGGATGGTGAACAATCCTTGTTTTCAGCTCATGTGAGAGTTGTTCTGAGACCTCCATGTTGCTGCTCTTCAGGGAATATTCAGAGGGAAACTAACAACTGCCCCTTAAATATTCTTTCTCCTAACTGGACTCACCTGTGTGTGGAGGTCAAGGGTCACTGAGCTTACCAAACCAATTTTGAGTCCCAATAATTAGTGCCCACATTCATGCACCTGTCTAATTTTGTTATTGCACACTTTCTGTAAATCCTATAAACTTAGTTTCACTTGTCAAACATCACTGCTGGTCTCCTATATGACATAAGCAAGGCAAGGCAGCTTTATTTATATAGCACGTCATACACAAAGGCATTTCAGTGTGCTTTCCAATTAGTAACAATAGCAAGAACGTTACACATCAACATGACAGAAAGTACACACAAATTAAAAATATTGAACTGAAATTGTTTATAACAACCAACTATTTATACAGGAAAATCCTGAAGATTAACAAAGCTGCCCAAACCTTCACAGACCAGGGTATTAGCAAGTGGGTGACTCCCAGGAAAAAGTAGCCAAGAAATTAAATCCTGCAGTGAATCTGCGTACTTCCACTAGTGCAAACTTGAAAACATTTGCTGAATGATTTGTGCAATAATCCGATTTTTATTTTACTTCCACAAAATGCTAATTCTAGATTAGATTTTACGGAAAATGGGGACGGCTTGCCACCTAACTTAAAAGCTGTCTCGTTATTTGGTCTATCATTTTTGATACTATGCTCCCAAATCAAGTTGAGTAATTTGTTCTTTCTCCTCAACAGAGTGAAATGAGCATGAGTGCTCGACTTGGATAACAGCAATGACTATAATTCACACCTGGTCCTTCTCAGGATAAACCCCTGCCCTCAGGAAGGAGGCTTTCCAGCTGTCCACGTCCTCTTGAGAGTCGCAGGCCAGTTCTATTTGACGAAAATCCTTGTAGACATTTCTGCAGAGACAGAAAAATAAAACACCGGTTCTTACAGCTGCAGGCTCTCTTCAGTACACAAGGACATGCATGCTGATACAATCTATACCAGAAAAAAGGAGAGCGTTTGCAGAAACCCACAAATGTGGTTACAACACCAACCTCTGTTCAATGTTGAAGATTGCAAAGATGTGTTTTGTGGACATAAAGCCTTTCTCAACATCTCTGAGCTTCAGGTTGTCCAGAGGCAACATGTACTTCTTCTCTTTTTCCTTCAATAAGCAACACAAAGGAAATGTGACTAAAGTATAAAAGTAAAAGAGGATCCCAGAAAACCTGGAAACAAAGTGCTGTTTAAACAGGAAGTGTTAAATTAATAAGGCAAGTGGAAAACAAATGATCTAACGTTCCGCGTAAAGCCTTATTTTCCAACAGTGCCCCGTGTTCCTCTTTGGAAATGTAGTATTTCTAAGAAGCACTGGAGATATTTTGTTTCCATGCAAATCCACAGAAAAGCTTATTTTATCTGCCGGTGTCTGGTGCCGAGATGACGTCTGACGTTTAAGTCATCAGACTCATCTTTAGCTGATCCAAGGACCAGAAAGGTCGGTCTCCATAATCAGACACCATTTCATAAAGCTGCATCAAAGATGGCTGCATGCATCTTCACGTGACCTTTGGGTTTGCATCTAGAAAACAGAAGAACAGATGCCTGCTCGTTTGCTCTTTTCCTACTAGTTACTACTTTTGTGTTTACTAAGCAAGTCAGGTTTAGGGAAGTCTTCTGCTTTCCCTTTCATTTGAAACTTGACCTTTTAACGCGTCTCTGGAAATCCAAACATTAAAGTTTGGTTTAAAACAAGAGACACAAACTTGTGTTTCACATACATTTTGATATACACGATAACAATATACTTATTACCAGATGAGGCTTTCTTTGGCGAACTTTATTACACATAGTGTAAAACACGGCCACGCCATGACTGATGGCTTGCTAATCCCACAAAAATACTTTGCTGCTGCATCACAAAAGGGACAGAAGCAGGATTATAGACGGATTCTTCTGTTCATACTAATATGATCCCCAAAATAATGAATTCTTTATAGCCAGGAAGCTGCGTGAATCACTACAGCCGGATGCTAATGAAGACAGAAAACGGCTCTATTACTTTGTAGTGAGTAAAAGTAAAAGAATGCATGTGCTCTGTGCAGATGACCACCAGACTAATGGGACGGAGAACTTCATGATGAAGACAGAGAGGAGGAGAAGAGGAAGAAAAAGGAGGAGCACGACGGAGTACGGGGGCAGCTTTCACTGTGGAGCAGAAACATCTGGAAGCATTTACATCTGCACAAACACACAGAGCGGCCCCGGCCCAACAGTTACATCACCCACAGCTCGACACAATCCCACAACAACGCCACTCGTCTGCATTCTTGCAGAAATACGCCCTTCACTGCAGCGCTGACAAAACACACACACAACTGTTCCTGACAACACAACAAGCACGTAAACGAACAGCGGAATAATCCATAAAAACACCTCAGATGTTCCTGAAGACCCACAGAGCTGCGTGTGGACGAGAGCCTACACACACATGCACACTTGTACACACAACCCCCCCTCCCCTTCGGCCCCCGTAACCCAGTACGATTTCCTGCAAATTCCAAAGTCAGATCCCGGCTGGAACATTTCAACTCGCCTTGCCACGTCAGTTTTCCGACCCCGTCCTACCACTCAGTCTCTTTTGCTGCCGTTCACCCGATTTGCAGCCTACACGAAAAAGCCAACAGTCCGATTCGTCTCTGGGCAACGAAGATCGTGTGCGTTATTATTTTGGTATTGCTCGTCGTTTTCTGACCTTTTCAGGCGAGACACAGCTGAGGCCTAAAAGAAGGCAACTGTAAGTAAACACATGAATATTTAGAAATGTGTTTTAGGATTCCTTGAAGCAAACAATGTATTTTATAGTTTATGTGTTATTCCTTCATTACCTAGCAATGTTGTTTTTGTTAAACCTTTAGAAAAGAGAAACTACTGCCATGTTTTAAAGGTTGTAGGTATCAATTGTGAAACACATATTTATAAACAAAGAAATACTGCGATGCTTTATTAGCAGCTGTGTGGCTTTTTGATGTCAAACCTTTACAGTGAGATAATATTTACACGGTGCCCTCTGTCCCACAGTGCTAGGGTAGCGACCTGCAGACACAATGACCTCTGGGTCGTTCCTCCTGAAGCCCTCCCCCCCACCCAGCCTGCCCAGTGTTCAGACTACCTGTTCCTAAAGCTACAGCTGAACAGTAGTCTGCACATTGGTTAGGCTAGCCTGGGACGCACACACTTCCTGTCTCTGATGTCATAGCAGCGGTGTCGCCAACATTTTCGTCGTGTTTTTATTTTTTCCTGTTGTGTGATTTCATTTCATGTTGGACCTTTATACATCCAGTTGTGTCAGACTAAATGTGGTCTTATGAAACAGAAAACCGTCTCACCTCCTCATCTTTGTACCAGGAGAGGGACTCAGCTGTCAGGACAAACCAGTATTCCTTAGAGCCTCCTTTCATGATGCTGAGGTGAAGAGTTAGCCAGCCTTTCCTGATCACCTACAGAGTCAGGAAAATATGTAGGAGAAACCAGGATCCAAGGGACATGGGGAATTTTAGGAAGGTGAGGGAAAACAACATTAACTATCAGGATTATGCACTGTGGAAACGTGGAGCCCAGGATTTGACAGAGACTGTTAGAACCTTACCCCACTTACCTTCAAGGACAGTTTTGATTTGAATCTCAGTGTTAAACATGTCAGCGAGTTTTCAATCATTAATGCCAAAACTAAATGTTAAAATGTTAAAATCAGGTTAGTAAAGTATGCCTAAGGTGATATATGTGTATAGTTAGGTTACATTTAATGAACAGACCAGATGATTGATTAATTGATAGTTGCTAAAACGGATGAAGGCATGGTTCTCTTCTATTCAGCAGCACATAAATCATTAAACTAGCAAACAGTCACAGATGTTCTCCAGGGCGTTTGACCCAGAACAGAGAAAGACAAACGGGGTTGGCTTGAATCAGATCTACATGGGTTGGATTACAGAATAAAAGCGCTAAAGCAGACCAAGAAGTCAGTGAAAAGATTAGATGCAGAAACAAAGCAGACAATTATTTTTAGAGATGGAGACAAATCTAAAGAACATGAAGATCAGAGACGGAGTAAATACACCGGTCTACAGTCGGTCACTCTGGGGAAAAAATGCTGTGCTGCTTTAGAGTTTGTCGCGACCTTCTCATTTTCTTGCTCTTTGTGAACTTGTTTAATGGAAAAATATATAAAAGAAACTTATTGGGAGAGAAGTTTGGCCTGTGCGAAGTAAACGTCAGGTTTTATATAATTCCTCTTGATGCAAAAGGGAAATGGAGCGGGTGATGTAGGAGAAAGCATTACCTTCGTTCCAATAGAAACACGGGCGAAAAGACAAGAAAATAGAAGATGCCATGGTAGCTTGCTTTGGCAAGTAAATCATTAAGCCTTAGAAGAAAAATCCATGCACCTCTTTTGTGTTCTTAGATCACTTATGAGATGTGAGGGTGTAATGATGAGGTGGTGTTTGTGTTAAGACCAATATTTAGTACGTTTGTTATTGATTAGATGATAGAAGGGGCTGCGCAGTGGTTAGAGCTGTTGCCGGCCTGGGATCTTTCTGTATGGAGTTAGCATGTTCTCCCTGTGCATGCGTGGGTTCTCTCCGGTACTCCGGCTTCCTCCCACAGTCCAAAAACATGACTGTTAGGCTAATTGGTCTGTCTAAATTATCCTTAGGTGTGTGTGTGTGTGTGTGTGTGTGTGTGTGTGCATTATTGTTTGTCCTGTGTGTCTCTGTGCCCCCCCCCCCCCCCCACCCCACCCCAACCTACGTGGACAAAGCGGGTTCAGACAATGGATGGATGGATGGATGGATGGATGGATGGATAGAAGTTGTTAATTTACATCTGAAATCAAGAAAGACGTTTGATTGGAGGAAAATTTGTTTATTTAAAATTTGCCTTCATGGATATCAGTGGCAGAAAACCAGGGGTTGGTTCCAGTCATTATTATTCACCCCAAAGCCCTGACCCGATTAAAACGCTATTTGGATCAACTCTGAGAACAGTAATTACATTCAGATCAATTGTTGTTAGTAGATTATTTAAGAGAAAATGCCTAAAAAATATTATTTTTTTCACTTGATTGCATGTTGCTAACTGGATTAATGCCACTCTCCTGATCCCAGTGGCGTTTGTGGCGGATTTCACAAAGCAGACGTTTGAATCACCAAGCTTGAGGCAGCAGCAGAGGTCAAACCAAACGACAGGGAACTGATTCCTCCACACTCACTGGTGGCACACTTCCTCTACTTCTCTCTTGCTTTTGTTAATGGAGAGAAACACCACCAGACCTTTTGGTGGCAAATTTATTCAGAATCTTTACTAAACACACAGCAGAAAAATGTTAGTAGAATTACCGCATCATTAAATAAACAGAATTACAGGTTTAAATGTGTGACGCTACTATTAAAAATGTCCAAATTACTGGTTATGGTGCGCTGACGCTTGAATTAAACTGAAGTGCGCTGACGCTTGAATTAAACTGAAGCAGTCAGGCAAGTCTCTACCTCTTCCTCCTGGACCTCTCCCAGCAGGCCGAGCTGCAGAGGGGTAGAACAACTCATTATGATGGAGGTATCACCTCACACAGACACAGGAGCCAAAGTTTGATCAGAAATCTATTCTAACTCCAACCAAACTGGCTGACCTTAACTTATACGGCCTCAGTTCTTCTGCATGGTTTACCCCTGCTGCCCCTGGCAGGGTGTGGGTTAAATCTGTGGGGTACTTACCAAAATCTCACCCTGCGGTAATAGGAAGGGAATGAGATTAAAGCAGAGGGGAGTGGTAAAAAATCAAAGCCAAAATAAATGAGAAAGCAAGAAAGAGGAGACAAGAGACAGAGAAGAAAGAAGGTAAAGGGTGAAAGTTTCATTCATATGGGTAAAGAAGGAAAAAGGGAAGAATGGAAAAGGAAAAGAGGAGGGGGGGGGGGGGGGGGGTTGAAGGTGCAGCAAAGGAAATCCAGGAGGAGACCAGAGATGGATGTAAAGAGGAGAGAGATAAGAGAGACAGAGCAAGAGTTACATGCAATTAAAATCTCATTTACATCACAATTTGGTTACGGCAGTCTATTGCTTAGTTGATTGGTGTGCCATCCATGCGCTTTCTACCGTTTAAATAAACATGATGCTTGTGAGTTAACGTTTATGATCAAATATCTGTTGTGCTGGAACAGCAAGCCTGGGTCACATGCAGTACACAAATGAAAATATTATCAGCCATGAAGAGAAGCGCTCGTTTCAAAAAGCAGAAGGAACGGGGTTGAGAGGTCTTCTTTAAAATCACTAAGGTACCTCTCCTCTTACTGAACAAATCATAAATGGTAAACCCAATCGGGCTGGTCTGAAAACCCTCCATGACAGACTAAATATCAACATGAACAAAAACAGGATTTAAGACATTAGAGGAAAGAACAAACTAGAGTGCATCTGAGTAAAGATGATGGCTGGACCGTAAGAGAGAGGCTGGAGTGTTGATTAATAGACTACTGAGGTGCATTTGTAAAAAGATGGACAGGTGAGAGGAAGAGAGCGGGGTGCAAATACATACCTGGTTGGGCATGGCCCTCTTCTTGTTTGAAGCAATGTTTCTCTGCTGAGCGCTGTTTTTACACAAAGACAGACATTTCAAAGTAACGCCGACCAAACCTAATGAAGGGTTACTTCATTTTTCTAAATATTGCATCCACTCATGGTCATTTACTATAAAACGTATGAAGTGAATCTGAAAAGGCTGTAAATGTTGGAGGAGTCTCAGACACACTTACAAACAATAAGCCCTCACTCTTTCCTTTGTGCCCACCTGTTGTTGGCGTACCCTGGGGAGCTACCATCATCCAGCCTTCTGTAGTCTAGACTGAAAGTGATGTCATGAGAACCATTAAACAGCCCTGGCTGATCTCGGACATGTTGCCATGCAGAGGCAAGACATCAACCTGACACATGCTCACACAAGGGCTTGCTTTGTTATTCGGTCAAAACCAAAATCCACACAGTAGAGGAGCTAAAAGCAGCTAAAGGTTACTGTAACTGCTGCGCCAGAGAGTACACGAAACCAACCACACGCTCTAGACTCTTCAGATTTACCAAAAACAAATCGATCAATGCTGTGTTGTAGGCAAATTAGTTTCCAGAGCAAAGCAACTACAGATAAAACAAACAGAAAAACACTGAAGTGCTGCTTTTGGCCTTGGGTACAAGAAGCGTGCTTTTTAGTGACAGTCTGCAACACATGGGAACTCATTTTAATCACCCAACCAGGTTTCATTGTTCTTGTGTGGGTAAGGGTAGCCTCAATTCATGAACGGATTGAAAATGAATAAGTTACTAGAGTTTACTGGGTTGATAACTGTAGCATCCACAGAAAGACGGGTGCTTTGATGTGGCAGCATCACCAGCACCCCGTGCTAATTTACTACAACGCTCTGTAGGTTTGCAGTATGTGGGGCAATGGGTTCAAGTAGCGCATGAAGAGATGACAAAGAGTTCGTTTAATTTTAAATCCACAAATGCAGATTGAAGGCAATGCAAACTTGATGAGCAAAAAGTGGGATGACAGCAACAAGCTACGTGATGGACTGAAGCGTTTAGAGGAGGAAGGCTACTTACTTGGCGAAGCCTATGAAGTCTTCGTGGTTGGTGTTGATGTAGGACAACTCGATGTCAATCAGCAGCAGAATCTTAAAGGCAGAAAACAGTCATCAAATAGGGAGTCTGTACATTTACACAAGGCAATGCGATCGGACTGCAGGAGAGAGGTTGAGCTGAGAATATGACTTTTCTCTAAACAATATATTTTATTGAGGTAAACTGATGAACACACAAGTCTATCAGTCTTACTTATTTCATCGCTCATAAACATCTTATCTTAAAACTATAAACGTCTACACAGAGACGACCTGGTGATGGCAGCACAGAAAACATCTATCTACTCAACTGAAGCAGGAAGATGGAAAATGTGTTGATTTGCACAGCTGCTTTGTCTCAAGCAACCAGATAAGAGTCCAAGAAACTGGGAATCACCTACAAAGACTACTGCATAACTGAGCTCATTTCCTACGCAGAGCAGACTCTTATGAACGGTTTATTTAGATGGCTGGGAAGCACGAGGTCTGAGAAGTCTCTGGGAGAACTTGTATCTAATTTGTAATCCATAAACTCAAATTCATCTGGTGTTACATCTTGATTGTTCTCTCTGCTGACAACAGCAGACGAACACAAAAGATCTGATTAACAGTAGAAAATAATTCAGAGTGAACACCCCTAACCCTCAATGGAAAACCTTCATGAAGCTTGAAATTATATTACCCAGATCCATGAAAGGTGGATTACTAAAACAATTCAGCTGTTTTTTTTTCTTTTTAGTTAAAGACCAAGTTCACTGGGTTTTCAACACATCAACAGTAGTCTCTACTATAAATGAATGCCTTGTAAGTCGATCTCTGAGAAAAATACTCTAGAAGTGTGCTAGAAGAGGAGAGCTGAGCTTCAGATGGCAGGATTTGGAGTCGTATTTCCTGATACACGGACATCTCGCCTCTGATTGGATAACAGCAATGTGACTCTACCAATGACTTGCAATGCTGATGTTTTATCTCAACAAATAACACAAGCCTGAAAGAGTTCTGATGTGTGGGGGTGTTGTTAGTGCTAATGGTAACCCTAACTTTATTAAGTACTAATGTCACTGGACTTTTTTAATCTGAGTGTTTCCCCGTCTACTTTCGATTGGCGGCTAATGCAGGAAATTCACCAAAAAAAACAAAAATACATCTTTTTGTAGGATTTGTGATAAGGACTGTGCAGTGGTTAGAGCTGTTGCCTTGCAGCAAGCAGGTCCTGGGTTCGCTTCCCGGCCTGGGATCTTTCTGCATGGAGTTTGCGTGTTCTTCCTGTGCATGCGTGGGTTCTCTCCGGGTTCTCCGGCTTCCTCCCACAGTCCAAAAACATGACTGTTAGATTGATTGCTCTGTCTAAATTGTCCTTAGGTGTGTGTGTGTGTGTGTGTGTGTGTGTGTGTGTGTGTGTGTGTGTGTGTGTGTGTGTGTGTGTGTGTGTGATTGTTTGTCCTGTGTGTCTCTGGCTCTATGTCCAGGGTGTACTGATTGCCCATTGACCGCTGGAGATAGGCACCAGCCCAGGCCCCCCCCCCCCCCCCCCCCCCCCACACACACACACACACACACACACACACATGGACAAGCGGTTTCGGATGGATGTTTTTGTGATGAAAATCAGTTACACTGAGTTTTTCATGCAGGCTGAACATGAAAATAGTCTCCTACACCTATCTCCTGCATTAGCTTCTGATAGAAAATAGATGATGAAACTCTAGGATTTGAAACTCTTGACAGATCTACATCACACTGTGAATTAGCATCCATGGGCTCACCCATCTTGACTCACGACAGGAAACGCTGTTGTTTTAGTGTCCAGGAATCAGCAGAGAACGTCTCGATTAGTAGAAGCTAACTCTTAGCATTAACAACATCATCACAGAGAAAACTCCCTTCGGGCTTGTGTCATTTGTGGAAATAAATCATCAACGTTGAAAGTCAGTGGTAGAGTCATGTTGCCGTTATTCCATCTGGGGTCCAAATATCAGGAAATACGACTCCAAAACCTGCCGCATGAAGCTCTGCTGTGATGGGGGAAACTTTTGGCTCCTAGATATGGTGCCCCGGTATTTTCCTTACTGGATTATGTACACATGTAGACACAAATGACACACTTGTCAGATTACCCAGCTAATCACCTTTAACAAGTGAAATACTCTCAGCGTTTCCACCTTAAGGTCCACCATAGGAACTGGTCAAACACTTTCATGCACCTTCAATCAGCTGCAGAACAATTGTTGAAATTTAAGCAACACTGGTAAGTAAATAAATAAATAAATTTAAAATAAAAAGCTGCCAAAGACATTAGAAAACAGTTCTGGTTTTGACAAAAAAAAGGGAAAAGAAATGCAGATAATAAAATGGTTTGTGTCCAATAATAAAACACAAACCCTGGCATTGTCACTGGAATGATAAACCACCACATAGTTCCTGAGCACAGCCACAGCTGCAGCTCACAAGTGTGTGATAATGACTGATGGGACTTTAACTTTAAAGCAGTTACTTGGAGCAATCCAACGTAGAATTTTGAATTGTTTCACACCAATTGCAATCTACTGTTCAAATAAAAACACTAACAAATCATCTGGAATGTTCAGTCAGGTAAAAGCAAAAAAGGACATCATGGATTAATGGTTTCTGGCCAGAGGATCAGGGAGGAACTGCACACATTAATTAGCATCTATCGTTTTGGGTACCGTGAGTCCAAACGTAACAAGACTTATGAGTTCAGTAGATAAAAACTATTGAATTATCATCCTGATAACACACCTGATCCTTGGTCTTCCCTTCTCTCTCCCTGATATGGGTGGTGACGATCCTCTCCGTCTCCTCTCTCAGTCTGGGGTAGGAATTTAGCTGCAAGGCAATAACACAAAACTGCAGCATTGAACAGTCACAGACACAAACACACACAGGCAATGACATGGGAGCTTCAGCTTAATAAGACTTACCAAAATAATCACAGAAAACAGGAGTGAGAAGTGAGAATAAGTAGGAAACAAAGAAAAGAGTAAAAAAAAGGTCAAGTGACATTTCAATGTCACAAATGCAGGCAATAACACACACACACACACCTCTTCAAAGCTGCAGAGCCCTTAGCCACCTGCCTGGGATGAGTCTGGTAAGGATTTGATGATGTCAGGTTAAACATTAGTGTCGGTCCACACCATGCATGGATGTTCTTGTGTGCAGATGCCAATACATTAACCAGTCATCCCTAGCTGACGGTACAGGTCTGGTTAGAGATGATGGCGGACAGGCGGGAATGAAGCAGAGGAAACCCAAAAGAGAGCAAGAAGAAATGTTTGGCCCACTAGGTCTGTTATCTATCTATGCAGTTCCCCCTTCTGTCCACAAGATGGTAGTGGAGGACTGTTGCTATGGGAGTGCTTTTTAAACATGTCACCATGTCCACAGAGCCCACAAGCTGCTAGGATCATTCCTGTCACCCGTCACATGAATTTCCTCTGCATCTGAGCAGCAAACTGAATCGGCCTACCCTCTGGGGGCAGTGTGTGAGTGTCGCCTAGCTAAGCACAACTCAGACTGGCTCTGGCAGGAAGAGGGTGGAGTGTAGGGGTCGGGGAAATTATTTAACTTTGACCTGACTTTGAATTTTGATTTAGATGGGGAAAAAAATTATAGGAGCTGACTGGTGGAAATTCTGAGCTGTTCGTATATTTTTATAATTGGTTTATATGTAGATATTCACCAAAACATGTGGAAACTTCAAAGGAAACAAGATGATGCACACTTCGAAAGCAATGAGAACAAACATGTATGGCAGACATCATTGAGGTGAAAACTGCTCTCAAATGGCAGCGATATGAAAGGCCCCCTCTTGTTTTATGGCATCAATCCAGCATGTGTGTCCCTCTTTACCTTAACGGCACACTTCATGACGAGTGCGGCGAGTTCAGACACCACGAGATCCAGACATTTGAGGCTGGGCTTTTTGAGTTTGAGGATCTGCTTTTTGACAATGGTCTCAAAAGCCAGGTCCGGGGTGAAGAGCCCCGTTCTGAAAGATCATGGGATCAGTTTGCAATTCATGGTGGTGGCAGAAAGACGGGAGGGAAGGGAATTTTGAAAAACCAGGAAGGAAGAATAGAGGAAATAAAACAGAGAAGAAGTTTGCTCGGTTAGTCATTTATAGTTCTGAGTCAAATCAAACGGGAGGACAAGCCGCAGGTTTTCTACACTTTCTTTCTTAAAGACACAGTGTGTAATATTTTTACTTATTTACTATCAAATTCTGTGTATCTGTTCACAAACAGGTCCTTTTTCATGAATATGTCTCAAACATCTAAATATTCCCATTAGCCTGAAATTTGACATTTTTATAAACATGAACTGTCGTTGATGCTCCATGGTCATGCGCCATCCTGAAATGCTGTAGCTGTGTAGGGAGACTACTCAGTGGGCACCGTAGACGTGCTGGGCATGACAGCACTGAAGCGAGAAGACAGTATCTGACCCATTCTACATATATTCACAGGACATGAATCCGAGACACACTGAAGCAATAAATAAAACTTGCAAACAGTTGAAAGTAGGGCTGCAAAATTAATCGTAAATATATCGTTATCGCGATATCGGCATGCACAATATGCATATCGCAAAGAACAGATAAATATCGTAATGAATGGTCAGCACAAATGTTTGCTAAAAATTATGCATTCTGTCAAACAGAAGCATCATGTTTTTTTTTAACAAATCAAATAAAGCTCTTCACCCATTTGGCCAAATGGGTGGGTTCTCATAGGTTAGATGCCCGCCCCCGAAGTGGACGGTACTTGATTTTGATGGTTAGCAAACACCTGACTTTGCTTTGTTCTGCTCTTTTTGCGGATTCTGCTTTTCCCGGGATCCACTGATTACCTTTTCTTGTTCATTTTCTTTTTACCTTTCCTCACATCTTTTGCTTTTCTCATTTTTATGATTTTTTTTAATTATTTTTGTTCCTGAGTTTTATTTATCGCAAGTAATATTGTCATCGCAATATTAATTACCATTATCGCATATTGCAGGTTTTTCTAATATCGTGCAGCCCTAGTTGAAAGCTAGTGTGTGGTGTTTTCACACAGTCTTTATTTACCATACCGTACCGCTTTACTTGGATAGCACATTTCAAATTCTGCATGAGAGCAGACCAACAAACTCAGAACAATAAAACAAAGATGAAAAAACACTCAAAGCATAGATAAACAGCAAAACTGAACCAGATAACCAAAGTAAAACCACTAAAAGCACAGATAAGACAATAAAACATGGAAACTGTCCCAAAAGTTAAAAGCCAGCCCAGAAAGTGGGTTTTTAAACGAGATTTAAAAACCGCCAAAGAGGGAGCCTGCCTTACAGTAATAGGCAGTGCATTCAACAGCTGTGGGGAAGCATGGACAAATGCTCGCTCGCCCCGTGATTTATAGCACAGCACATCTGTGGAGTGCAAAGCAGGAGGTGATCCGCTAACTAAAGTCAAAAGCTTAAACTGTACCTGGAATACAACACGGAGTAAATGAAGGCGTGGAAGAACTGGGATGATGTGGCTACATCAACTTGTGTTCATCACCAGGCTGCTGCGTTCTGGACAACCTGCAGCCGATTTAATACTGAGCTAGGATTACCAGTGAGGAGTGCGTTCGCATAATCTAAGTGGGAGGTAATGAAAGCGTGAATAACTGATTCCAAATGCCTCTGCTTCAGAATAAGCCCAAGACGAGCGAGACGACATAACTGATAAAAGCAGGGCCTCACAACAGAGTTTATCTAAGAAACCATTGAGAGGTCGGCATCCAATGTTACCCTACGACTCGTTACTCACTGCTTGTGATTTAGGGTTATAGAATCAAGGGCAAAGTGAGAGGAAGAGGGATTTCAAGGATCAGAAACGATGGACTCAGATTTTAGCTTGTTTAATTTAAGAAAATTAGCAGTTAGCTGGGGGGGGGGGGGGGGGGGGGGGGGGGGTCGGACTAGAACAGTACAAAGACAACAATGGAGGCCGGGTAGAGGGTCGCCGCATGCCGGACCTCACAGGAGGTTTTGATGCGTGTGGTCAACTGTAGCTGCAATACCTGCTCTAAACTGAGTGGCGCTAAAGAGTCAAAGGTTTTTACACACTGGGGCTTTAACAAAGCAGTCTCTTTAAGATTTGGTCATTAGGCTGGAGCTTTCAGCCTTCTCTTCATTTGCTGAATACGTGTAATGAGTTGTGAAACCAGCAGCATACCCAAGAGAAACCTGAGATGTTCAGTCCAAGAAACACCTCTTATTCACAACAACACGGCACATGTCACAACACTCCACAACACATATCATGGGGCTGGGCTGGGCAGAGGGGTAACTAAACATTTAAACAGTTCTCAAACAGCTAATGTTCTACGGTAGCTAACCCTTTGCCAAGCCCAATGCCCTGTGTCCCGGCCGGGTCGGGAGGTGATGGACCCTTGCAGTACCTTGTTGGTGCACTGCCTGACCGTGTTGATGAGCTCCTGAATGACCAGATCGATGCATTTGAGACAGGGTGTTTTCAGCTTAACTATCTGCTTTTTCACGATGACCTCAAACGCCAGGTCTGGAGTGAACAGCCCCGTTCTGAGGACACACAGAGAGACAGCGGCCAACACATGGAACAGTTAACAGACAGGTGTGACAGGCGACAAAAAATGATTCAACTCATAAAAACATCGACAATGAGACAACATGACTGAACAGAAATTTGAGAAAGATCACTAAAACAACAACAAAGAAGAAAAGATCAACAGAACAGCCAACACGGGTAAGAAATGGCAGGAGGAAAACAAAACAACACAAACACACTGGACAAAGATACAGATGATACAAAACCTGAAAAGGACAGAACACTGGTGGACAGACACAGAAAGGGAGTGGGTGGCTTATGTGTGAGAAGCCTGAAAAGCAACGCGAAGAGACAGACGTATAATTCACAAATAACAGATGACATTGTCTGAATACATCAGTCTGAATTAGTACTGTTGGTCTATGTCAAGTCTTTAATTCACAACCTTGAATTATAAAGTAGAACAAAAGCTCCAACAAAGGGAGGAAGGCCGTGACAAAAGAAGCATAACACAGGCATCTGTTACTTTTTCTCTTAAATGTTCTTTTGCAGCTTTTTCAGAGAACTTCACTTGCCTGACACCATGGACATTTTTGATTGCATGACTGATTTCCCTCCTCAGCTCCTTCTCATCAAACACAATCTGTGCAGCAAGAGAAACCACACCCATCCTTAATAAACTTCAGAGTGCATTCATCTTTATCCATTCAAACTCGCGGGGAAGAGTGATGTAAATATGGGCGTAAACCTTGACTAGCTCGAAGGGGAAGCGTTCGTGAAAGATTCGATTTATCCTGGCACCTCCTGACAGCTCATTGGTGTCCACCTGGTCCCCAGAGCCTTCGATACATTTTTCAAAGTCCACACCAAACTGCTGCACCATCCTGATTAGACACAGACAAACAATTTATGTTTAATCTTCCTGCAGAAGCATGCTTATAAAGTCCATTCACACATGATGCAATGGTTGTATATGCATCTCTTCAGAGATTGTTGTGAAACCAGCTTGTTTTATGCTTTCAATCCGTGGGTGATCAATGTTTAATTAAATAATCTCCCTTTCCTCTAACCAGGGTATCTGCAGGTTTAAGGGAGCCAAATTTAAGACTTTTTAAGACCTTTTTAAGGCAACTTTGACCAAATTTAAGCTATAATTTCCGGCTATTGCCTGGAACCGGTGCTAACCACGTCGCAAACGTGGGATTAGCCATCCAGTTACCATTACACTTGCACTTCCCCATGGCGCAAGCTCCCACTAGCTTAACCAGCTAATGTGCTCATCTAAAAATAGCCCCCTTTAACAACCAACTGAATGTGTACGGTTCCGCTTACGCCAACATCATACACAAAAAAAAGCTGAACACTAACTAGAAATTCACGAAAATTTTATAGTAATAAAATAATCTTGTTTATTGGGTCTTTGGTCATTTAAGACCTTTGAAAACTGTATTTAAGGATTATTTGTCATTTTTAAGGATTTTTAAGGCCTTATATTTGGGAAAGCCACTTTAAGACTTTTTAAGAACCCGCGGATACCCTGTCTAACACAGGAGCTAAGATGTTGCAGCCCAGTTAACTGCGGCCCAACAATGCGTTATGCAAACCCAAAGGTGACATTAGGCTCAAGCTGCTGCATTAACTAATGTTTGTAGCAAACGGAACATGCAGAAATAATTATTTGCACTCACTGCAACAATGCTTTTGTCTTACGAGTTGGATCATCTGGACGGAAATTTTTATACTCTTCCACCTCCTTTTCCAGGGAGAGAAGCTGACTCTGCAGCTTGCTGCGCAGACCAGGAAGGGTATCCCTGATGTGATTGGTCAGTTGCTATAGACAGGCAGCAGATTTTAGATCATTTGATGAGGAGCAAATGGCAATCTAACATTTAAACAAACAAAAATGATAATACTGACTAATGCAGACCTGGTTAAGTGTCCTTTGTAGGTGTGATGTGCCCATTCGGTCTGCCATGTGTCTGTAGGCAGGGTGTGAAAGGAAGAACTTCCTCTCTGCAGCCAGAGCAGCACGGATGTCCTTCTTTCCATCGATATCCTTTTGGCTCCTGTTCACCACACCGATGTAACCTAAACAAAAACGGCTGCTCTAGGTGTGAGGCTTACAGAGTGTAACATGTCTGTCTGCGGGTGTTGTGTGTGGCACTCACCTCTTCGCAGTGGCAGCAGTTTATTTTCAAGGATATCTTTTGCATCTGTGCCTTCGTCCATCAGGTCCAGTTTTGTTATGACACCAATGGTACGCAGACCTGAACAGATTAGCCAACAGCAGCTGGAATACTTCTATCCTAAGTCTCCTACCTAACGTTGATGTTAAAATTAATACTCAAAAGGCTGACATCTGGAGGTTTTCTAAAAGTGGTCAACATTTCCTAGCGGCGTTAGAGCTTGGCCTGAGGTAAATGACAACAACACAGCCATAGCTAAATAAATGAGATGCAGTAGTAAAATATCAACCCAATACAAATGTTCCTGACAACATACGGTTCATAAGCCTGATATCTGACCCTTGATTGATTTGTTTACCTTGTGGGTCAACCTCCTTGGCAATCTTCAAAGCATCTGAGTTAGCCAGATCAGTATTGGCAGGAGTGACTGCTAGGATCAAACAGCTCTCCTTGGTGATGAACTGCAGCAGCATGTCTCTGATTTGATGCTCGATGTCCGGCGGCTGATCTCCTACAGCAACCTTAGTCATGCCTGGGAGGTCGATCAGGGTCAGGTTCAATACTATTGGGAGTTAATAAGAGACAAAAAACATGAATGTTTAATGAGCAGGAAAAATAGTCATTGGTCAACCCAACGAATATGGGCAGTGGAGGGCGACGTCGTCCTCTACCGCCCACAGAAAACAGCGACGGAAGCGTCACCAAACACGTGTGACGCTCTGGCGGAGGCGATAGAGACCAGAGCCAAAACCGTCAGGCAGAAAGGCAAAAACAAAGCTTTTACCACTCTGCATATATAAGAACCAAAAAGTCAGGTTTGTTGAATGCAAACTGAAGTTTTGGTGTTGCGCTTTTCCCTAATATTCTTTTTCACGTCGTCACAAAGTTTTAGTTCATGTTGGCCTTTTGGAACCATCTCGGTAATATAAATTAAGCATTTGTAATTAAACAGTTACAGAAAACATTGAAAGTATCTTATTTCTCCACAGAACATCAAACGACAAATGTTTTAGTATCAGTAATATTTAACTATTAAAGTTATCCTCATTTTGAAGTATCGAGGAAAAACTTTTGTCCCAAATGAAAAAGTATCCATCTTAACACAACATGCTTTGAGTATAGTATGGTGAAATTTACTATTTATTACTGGAAACAAATGAATAAAAGGAAAAAATATGTTGTTAATGTTATTCAGTCCACTTTTGACACTTTTTCTGTGTTGTTTATTATATGGTATAAAACTAGAACCACAACCAACAACAGGCATCTGTTTTTTTTATTTTTTGTTGTTGTATTAAATGAGATTTAATGAAAGATATCTGAACTGAGGAAATGTTCTAGAATTAATTCCAGTACATCTTGGGAATTTTAAAATACAAACCAATTCCTTAGAATAAACTAGGTCAAATAAACCTTTTATATATATTATATTGTAATGGTGACAAGATACCAGAAGTGAACATACTGTATAAATAACATTTTGTTTCAAATCTCTTCACTCTTACTCATCTTACCAAGTGACCTGACTTAGAACCAAAAACACAAATAAGTGAATGATTAGTGATTATGAATGACTGTGTCCACATGACGTGTGTTCATTACCATTTGGGGAATAGACCCTCAAGTTGATGGGAATAGGAGAAATGCCTTTATTGGATCCAGTGATTCTGTCGGTTTCTGCCTCGATTTCCGCCCGGACTTCATCAAAATCCACAAACTTCTTTCCTTTGCAGTGCAGGAATTCAGCATATTCTACACAAAGGGGCAGAGCGGAGTGCACAAGAGGTGAGTGAAGATGGAGGGAATGAAAGAGAAAGAGCAGTGAACAACAGAAAGCTAAATTAAATTCAAGAGATGAAAGTAGCAAGCCGTGTGCCTGGCTTGAGGCGCTGAGACGGAGACACCATATGCGGGGCAATGATGAAAGGAAATTGGGATGTTTGTGTGTACAGGACAGACGCACTCACCTGCTATATTATTCACCAGCTGCAAAATGAGAGGTCTGCGGGTAACAATACCTGATCCCCGAGGAAGAAAGTCCCTGAGTGTGAGAGAAACAAACGAGACAAAGAAAATAAATAAATTACATAAATATACACCAGAAATATGAAGGTTAAAAAGGATGAAAAAAAAAACTGAATACAAGAAAAACATTGGATGGATGAAATAGGGCATGTAGAGCAACACAAACAAAGAGTGAAAGGAAAAAGTCTGACAGACGAACGACATTCAATTATTGCATTCAAAGTCCACTTCCTCGCTAGTGGCTTCTAGTAAACGGAAAAGGAGAAAGAACTGCATGCTTTAACTGGTCAAAACAACGAATCCAACGTGGATGTCACTTGTTGAATAATTAGAAACCATAAGCACAAACATCTGCTAAAATGTGAAACTCCATCCTCAAACAGAATTCACACGTTAAGTTTGATTTCTTTTTTAATTTGAACATGTCCATAATGAACCAAACGGACCACGACTTGGATAGCTATATTTAATAAGTTATCAAGAGCATCACAGGCTGTTACGCAAACATCTAAACACTTTGACTCGAACCGAGTTGATCATTGTGAGGGGCTGTATGTCCAACAGGAGTAGACCGATATGTCTGGTCAATATTTACCCTTTTTTCAATATCGGCATTAACCAACTAGGGCTGGGCGATACGGCCCAAAACAAAATCTCTGATGATTTTTAAAAAATTCGATTTACGATTTATTTCCGATCCTCTCTCCCCCTTAATTATTAAGAATAGCAACAAGTACAAATGGAAGGCACCTTAAAGCCAGTTTGGTTTTTATTTAATCACAAGCAAGACAAATGTAACCCTCGTTTCTGAGATGAATAATGAATAAATGAACATCCTGTTGGAATAAAACTGCCACGCTCCACATCCGTCACAGCAAACCCAAACAAGTTCCAAACAACGGATGATTTGTTTCCTTTCTTAGGAACAAACTTCCCACTCTCACTGGTGGCCATGGAGTCAAATGTGATTGTGAAGCCCTCTGTGTCGGAGCGTCTCTGTTACACGTGGAGAACTACATCGCCGTTAGTAAAGTGTTGTGGAGATAAAGTAAACAATGCTGATTTAGCCACTGGCTGGCGGACGAGTGGTGGAGCGTGTTGGGAGATACGGCAGGCTGCAGGAAGAGAGGAGACTTGAGTAGAAGGACTTTGGAACGGACACGTTGGGACCGGGTCGGGAGTTCTGGTACTAGGAAAAGACGGATGAACAACTTGAGGCGAGTTTGGAAGTCAGAGACACTAATCCGAGGCTGGCGTCCAACTAATAAACTAATAGCAGGCGGGGGTCTGAACATATGCGGCTTCCTTGTGTTGGACATGATGAGGAACTGACAAATTTTATGTCTTTTGATTTACTAGTTTTTTATTCAAACTAACAAGTACAGCAACGGTGTAGCTATTCTTTTCCATTTCTTAGTTGAATCATCAGACTCAATGCTTCCAGGGCGCCCTGCTGCCCTCTGCTGGTTCTTTCAGGTTACAGTCATTGTCCAAACGGTAATGTGGTGCTCGTTTGTCCCTAAACAGCTACTGTACTTTAAGATGGTGGATGACCATGGAGCGTCGACCACAGTTTATGTATATAAAAATGTATAATTTCAAGTTGAGAGGAATATTTAGAATTGATGTTGGTGAGAAATGTTAGTGAAAAGGGACACATTAGTGAACTGGAAACACAGGATTTGATAGAAAACTGGTAAAAATATCACATACTGGGCCTTTAAGGAATAGTATAAAGTGGCCAAGGCTGCACTAAATATTTTCTAGGAATTTTTATATTTTTTTAGTTATCGATAGGCCAATTAGATTTTTTTTGTAATCTATATGCTTTTTTTTCTTTATCATTCAGCCCTATAACCAACACAGAACAAATTTAACAAAGAGATTCCAAATGAATTTTATCCATAATAATTTATAACGAAGTGTTGGGTTAAGTAAAAAGAACAGCACAAAAGGTGGAACTCTAAAATGCAGAAGGGCAGCACCTGAGCTGCTTATGGGAAGCACACAACAAAGACTAGTTATGCTTCTCTGCAACAGACAGGCAATGAGTCGCGGCTGAAAAAATTGTAAACCATATATTGAAAAACTGCACATTTTAAAACAGAACAGAGAGCCAAGGGAGACTGGTGTTTCAAAAGGTGAATCTCTTCTGCGGAGCAAGGCACCTCTGTGACTCTGTTGAAGCTTTGATTGCTTTCTGCTGCTTTAGTTCAGCAAGTTGAGCATCGTCGAAACCCAGGTACACACATTAGTTTGTTCAGGATTATAGCAACGACTGGTCTCAGTGTTCTCAGCGTTGCTGTCAAGAGTGTCAACTGCTTTTAATGACAAGCTTTCATTAGCTGCCCAAAGCGCCATCATTTCTAATGTTTCACTTAGAACATTCTCCTAAAACCATTTTAATGGCAATTTTAAATGGAAAATGACCAGAGTGAAGCTGGAAAGTTGGTTGCTTGTGGCGACGCTGTTCGTCTTTACCATGTAAGATGCAGAGCCGTCAGGCTGACGGTTTGTGGGAGATGATTTAGATGCATTCTTTTATGGAAAGAAGGACGCACGCAGAGGGAAAGTCAGGAAGCCAGACAACGAAAGACCCGTGTAACTAAAGTTACTAAAGTGAAAACAGTCAAAACGACTACTTTGGCAGTTCTAGTGTAGTAACACTGAACCGTTTTATGACAGGATTGAATTATAATTTTTCTGGCAGAAATTAAGACTTCAATTCAATTCACAAATTTCTTTAACTCAAGCTTTAGCTCAATATTAATGTACAGCAGTACCTCAGGAGGTAGAGCGGGTTGTCCAGTAATCGGAAGGTTGTAGGTTCAATCTCGGCTCTGACCAGAGAGTTCTGATGTTGTGTCTTTTGGCAAGACACTAAACCCACCTTGCCTACTAGTGGTGGTTGGAGGGGCTGGTGGTACCAGTGTTCGACAGGCCTCGCTTCTGTCAGTGCACTCTGGGGCAGCTGTGGCTACAATGTAGCCTATCACGAACATCCTTGTAGCCAAGTTGATTAACCTGAACCTCCCCCCTACCACCTGTGGCTGGATCAAAGATTTCCTCACCAATCGCCCACAGGCTGTCAGGTTTGGTGACAAGCGGTCATCCACTCTGATGCTCAGCACTGGTTCCCCTCAGGGCTGTGTGCTAAGCCCCCTGCTGTTCACCATCTACACCCATGACTGCATTCCTATTCATCGCTCTAATAAGATCATTAAGTTTGCAGATGACACCACTCTTGTAGGTCTTATCCATAACAACGATGACGCAGCATACAGAGATGAGGTTTGCCATTTATCAGAATGGTGTGATGATCATAACCTCTCTCTTAACATCAAGAAGACCAAGGAGATGGTTATTGACTTCCGAAGGAGTAAGGATGCCCCCCGCCCTGTCTGCATTAAAGGAGCTGAGGTGGAGAGAGTTCCCTCCTTTAAGTTTCTCGGGATTTACATCTCTGAGGATCTGTCATGGACAATCAATACCACTGCCTTGGTCAAAAAAGCACAACAGCGGCTGCACTTCTTGAGAGTCCTGAAGTGGAACAGGCTGCAGACCAACCTCTTGGTGTCTTTTTATCGAGCAGTCATTGAGAGCATGATGACTTACGCTATCCCTGTGTGGTACGCGGGGTGCACAGTAGCTGATAAAAACAGATACCAGAGGGTCATTAGAGCGGCGGAAAAGGTGATTGGATGCACCCTTCCCTCCTTGGACACTATCGCCCTGCAGAGGTGTCTCACTAGAGCAAGGACCATCTCCAGGGACATTTACCACCCAAACCACTACCTTTTTGCCATGCTGCCCTCTGGGAAAAGGTTCAGATCCCTCAGCTGCAGGACCGACAGACTGAGGAAGAGTTTCTTTCCCTGGGCTATTAGAACCCTGAATGGACAGAAAAATCAACCCTATTGATATTATTTATTGTATTTTTTAATGTTTTTGTTTTTTTATTGCATGGTGCATATTGTACTTGTTTTAGCTATTTTTCTTAGTATTTTTAGCGGATGCCTAATGTGGAGCTCTAGGAAATTTCGTTGAATGTGCAATCATTTAATGACAATAAAGGATATCTAATCTAATCTAATCTAATCTAATCACCACCAGTGTGTGAATGGGTGGATGAACGATTGCGTTATGAAGCACCTTGGGGGGTTGTAGAACCCTAAGAAGGTGCTTTCCAAATACAGGCCATTTACAGTAACATTTACCAACATGACAGGAAATGATATCCTAGATTGGTTAGCCCTAGTTTAAATTTATCGAGTTGGACTTTCATCCCAAACAGCCATGTAATTTTATTGTTTAGATCCGTTGCAGTATTATAACCTTGGGTTCACTTTTTTTTCAATGACTTACTAAAGTAACAGGAGCAGCAGGTCGGCTTAATAAAAGACCATGTTTGAGCTGCTGCACAGGCCAGACATGGGCATGTTATAATGGGTAAGCACGTGTTGCTGCCTGGGCAGCATGGCAAAGTTGGGAGAAACACAAACAAACTGTATAAGTCACACTGACATAACACCAGTAGACAAAGGAGCGTAGGGATAAGGGAACTGATACACACATTATTTTCAATATTAATGTAATAACAAAAAATTATTTAGTTGTAGCTTTATTTTTGGTCAAAGGTATTTTTATACCAGCTTTTTAACTGGCTCAGTGGCATAGTGGTATGAGTGTCCTGAGAAAGTGAGATCATGGGTTCAAATCCCAGTCAGGTCATACCAAAGACTTTAAAACAGGGACCAGTCCATCCCCGCTTGACACTCAACTTTAAGCGGTTGGACTGGGAGGGTTCAACGACCAAATATTTCCCAAGCGCAGCCACTGCTGCAGCTCACCGCTCCACCAGGTAATGGGTCAAATGCAGAGATGTCATTTGACCAGTGTGTGATGACTAATGGGACTACTCTGTCAGACATCACTGTTGTTTAAGTATAATGTCTCAATTGCTTATTGGTCGTTCACATTATTCAAATAATGATGAAGTCCACTAGCATGTTTTTG